CCTTCAGCTCTGTCCCACTTAGGCTGTGACACAGCCACATCAAGCAGCATCCCTACCATCACTGTCCTGCCCCAGCAGTGCCCCACAGGAAGAAGCTCCCAACAAGCTGGGCTACTGGGAGCTGGGGAAGGGAGGTAAGGAGGGTTCAGACCTCCTACAGTGCCCAACTGAGCATCTCCACATCTACCACACGCTGCAGAACTCGACTCCACTCACCTCTGCACCAGATCAAACCACAGAATTGATTTCATCCATGGGCTGTGAGCCAGAGCTGCAGTCCTCCCCAGCAGGGAGGGGAGGCTGTGACAGCACCTGCTCCCCAGACACTCCAGGTATTCCCATTAATTACACTTCCAGAAGGAAGAGGGTGCTGCAGCTCCAGTCACACCCAACCCAAATTTACTACGAGCTGGTAAACACGCAGCAACTGCCCTCTGCAACGGAAGGGTATCAAACTTTATTATAGATCTCTTTAAAACAGGCTGGAAGGAACAAACAGAAATGTCATTGCGATGCAGTGACAGAGGCGCCACTTCAAATGCAGACACTGGGCAAGCCCCAACTCTCCCACATTATTTATATATAAGACATCACACCCACCCCCAAATTGTTCCAATTGATTGCATTTCAGACCACCCCAGGTGCCTTAACATTAGCTCTAAACACCAAGACGCACATGGGTTCTGGCAAATCAGATGCTGTATTTGGGGGGGTTTAGTTCCTCAATCTCTGGAAAGGAGGAAGGAAAAACACAATCAGGAGAATTGCTTCTTTAAGGTTGCTTTTTTACAGCAGGTACAGATTCGGCAGATTTCCCCCCCGAAGCAAGTCTGAAACCCTCTTGTTCAGCTTGGCAAGATGAAGAGAGCTCCTGGTGGTTAAGGAGAACCAGCCAGACGAGATCAGTCTGAACAAACTGATTTCGAGGCTTTGTTGTCATTTCCCTTTGGGGCCGGTTTCCAGCGGTTTTCCAATATCCTTCCCACGCAGTTTAAGGCCTGGAACAAGACAAAGGAGATGACCACCATCAGCACTCCATCATTCACCTGATAACTTTATGTCCTCATGTTTGCTATATGGAAGAGAATGAGTGCAGGGGACCCAAAGGGAGGGAGAATCCTACTTTACATTCTAGGAGCACCAGATTAGACTCAGACAAAGCTCCAACTCTTGCTTGTGCATTATCTTCCTAGAATATGGTATCTGAATTAGCCTGAGAGAGCAACATCAACACCATTCGCTGCAAGACACTTTCCCAAGTATCATCAGGCCTTCACAGGTCTCAGTATCTCTCTGATTTTGGGGGGAACGCAAACAGGGGTGGCCCCACACATGCAGATGAACAAAGAACAAGAGCTCCAAGTTCTGGTTTCAGGCAGCAGACCCAGGTTTTGTAGAATAAAGCTGCACCCACAGTAACCAGCAGCCAGCGACTGCTCCTGATGTGGAACATGGAACACCAGAACACCCCTCTTAGGCACTGTTTCCCTTCCCCACTTACGGATGGCTCTCTCGATCTTGCCCATGACCTGGTTGTTGGGGATGGCTCGTCCCGACTCGTAGTCAGCGATAACTTGCGGCTTTTCATTGATTTTCTGCAACAAGAGGCTGAGTCTCAGGCACTGGCTCTGGACACTGAACACACAGCACAGCCCCACGCTGCTCACACACATAACAACAGCCTTGAATTATGCCAGGATCAGAAGACAAAGCTCTACTTCTAGGCTCGCTCCACCACCACCATCACCTCCCTCCCCTGTTTGGGTCTCACAGCAATGGTGACACCCATCCTGGACAGGCTGCTGCTTCCCTCAACCTCCCAGGAGGAGCAGGCACACTCCACAGTGCTGCTCCTTAAGACGGCAGCGGGTTTCTGAATGCTGTGTCAGGCCCAGATGGTACCAACAAAACCTCCCGTCACTGCTGAGATGATGGGAGAAGGGGCAAACCAGCCTCCTCCCATCTCGCCAGCCACAGTAACAATCCATCTGCAAGCAGTGTTCAAGGGCTGCACAACCCCTAAACCACTCCTCAGGTAAATAACCCTGCCTGGAGAGCAGCCACCAGCGATGCCACGTTCACCAAACTTCCTGCTCATGACACCACTCCACTGCAGCTGCCCACCAGGAGACAGGAAGAGCATCCACCTTCACCTAAAGCTGCGTGGGGAGACTGGGAGCAGGGGCTGTACTCACGGTGGCCAAATCCTTCTGGGTCATGCCCTTGCTCTGCCGGCCTTGCTGGATCACTTTGCCCACCTCCAGGGGAACTCTGTCATGGTGCAGCTCTTCTGTCTCCCGATCGAGCTTGGCTGTGTTCTTTGTAATGAAGTGTTGCTTGTTCTGGCCTGCTGCCCCTATCACCCAAAGCAAGAACAAACCAAAACAAACCAAGGACAAACAAAACAAGGCTCAGCGCTGTGCCCAACAGTATCAAGGTGCTTTTTCTAAGCTCTCAGCTGCTCAGCATCCCAGGGAGCTTTCAAGATTTCAATGTGCCAACATCAGCACAGATCCTGCCCATCAGAGAACACGTTATCTTAATCCTGTTAATGCTGGTGTCTAAACACAGCCACACAGGGCCCACCCCTTTCTCCATTTCCCATCTGAACTTCACTCCAGACAGGCAAGATCTCACTATGGCTTGGAGATTTATCATTCAGCTTTGATCCAGACACATGTTTGTGCTACAGCATAGGGGGGGGGCTAACACCTGAACTTGAGCGGGGTTTGCTCAGGTATTAAGGCAGCACAAAGACTAAACTTAATCAATTTTCTGATGCCTTTTATAAGTAAACTCTAACTGTACTTGGCTCTCCTGAACACCTGAGGTTCAAAACATGCTGTTTGGTTTGCCTCATCGCAGTTGGAATCTTTTATCCCACGTTAGTCTCTGATGTTCAGTCTCTTGACAAAACTGATTAAACCTCCTTCGAGGAGTATCTCTTTATTTCCCACCACCCTGATCTCATCCTTATGGCGAGAGAACCTAAGAATTTACACCAGAGGAAACGGGGTAGTTTTAAGGAACAATGCCACCGAAGTGCCAGCGGTTAAAGCCCCGGGCACGCATCATCAACACGAGAAATCAGCTGCAGAAATTGGGGGAGTTTAACTTTCATGAGATCCCCCAAGATCTGTGCTCAGCTCCGGACAACCAGAACCTCAGCCCCGGCTACAGGGAGCACTGCCCGTGGCAGGGTGCGGGGCTGCGCGGCCCCATCCTCATCCAGGGAAGATGAGCTCTGGCTCAGCCGGGGGGTGCTACTTCCGTCCCCCGCTGCAGGAGCCTCCGGCACCGCCTCAGCTCCCGCTGCGGAGCCGGCCCCCACCCGGGCCGGGCTCCCCCCTCCGCGCTGCGGAGCCCCCCGCGCGATACCCACACTTCTTGGAGGTCTCTACGTCCTCCCCGCGTCGCTGGGCCGCCAGGATCGCCTGCGGAGAGGAGAGGGGCCGTGGTGAGCGCTCCGCCACCGGAGCTATTCCCTGCGCAGCAGCCTGACCCCGGCCTCCGGCTCGCCCGGGCCTGGCCGCCGGTATATGCGTGCCTCGGCTTCGGCTTCGGCTTCGGCCGGGGCCGCTCCGCCCCCGCCCGCCACCCGCTGACCTGCTTGGACTTGGCCTGGGCCGCGCTAGGCCCCTTCTTGCGCAGCACCGTGACCGTGTCCCAGTCGCTCTCCGCCATGGCACCGGCACAACCCCTCCCGCGACCGCGCCCGCCGCTCAGCGGCGCAGCCCAAAGCCCGCCCCCGGGAGGCGGGGCCTAGCGCTGCTCACGCCGATAGGGCTGCGCTCCCGTCCTTCAAGGAGCGACAGCCTCTCATTGGTGGAGAGATGAGAGCTCGCAGTGTGCTGGACTTTGGCAGCCTTAGCGGACTCAGCGGTATAATGGCGACCTGGGTGTGACGCAGTTGTACGCAATAGGCGCAGGAACATAGCGATCAACCTTATCGCTATTTGATTGGCTGGTGTACATGCCAGGCTGGAGGTGGGCGGGTTTGAGCTGTGCAGACTGATAGGCTGCTGTGAGTGCCAATCACTCCTTGCCCACAGAGGATTGGCTCAATCCTCCGTGCTGTCAGCACCGCTGACCAATAATCGCGCCCTCAGCCACTGAGCGGCTTCGTGGCTGCTCCTCCCGCTCTCGGCCGCCGCAGGTCCCGTTCGGGCGGGGTTTGGGCTCTCCCGCTGCCGGTCCCGGGCTCTGCCGCTGGAGGCGCTCGGTGCCGCTGCACGGGCAGGGTGGGGGGAGGCGGTATGGGGGCCCGGGGAGCGCCGTCCTCCGAGTGCGTTACTCCGTGATGCTCCGGCTGGACGCAGGTGTACCCGGAGCGGCCCCTGGTGGTCCCGCCCCGCGGCTGGTGCTGCACAGACGCGGCTGCGGGTTTCCTGCCCCTTGGGAGCAGCACGTCCTGCCCGGGACAGGGGTGGTGCGGGAGGCGGAGAAGAGGCTTTTCCCCCGCCGAGTTGCATCACCCAGCCAAGAGCTTCAGCAAAGCGGCCGCTTCCCCGGAGGAGCGCAGTTGTGCCGGGAACTGGGACGGTGCGACCTGCGGGGATGGGCAGCGCGCATGTCCGCGAGCAGCTGCCGGGTGCTGTTCCCGGTGCTGCCTCCCGCGCCGGGATGTGCCTCAGCCCCAGTGGAGCCGCTCGCCCTGGGAAGCCGCTCCTCGACGGACGGCTGCCTGGCCCCGCGGTTCCAGCCACCGGCTCGGCCCGTTTCGCTTCAGCACTGCCGCCGCGGCTGCTGCCATCACCCTGTTGTGCCCGGGTCTGACCGGGAGGGTTTTTCCGGGGCCGGCGGGTGAATTCCCGGTCGGTGAGGACAAGCCTGCCGCAGCCCCGCCATGCGGGAAGCGGCGAAGCCCCGAAGTCCCCGCACCGCACACAGGGAAGGCTCCGGCAGCGCCCGGTGCATGGGCCACGCTGGGCGAAGCGGGTGGAAAACCCGGTGACCGTAAACCCGGCGGTTGTGGCATTCTGCCGGGCGAGTTCCGCTGTGCAATCACCTCTCGTGACCTCAGCGCCTGTCCCCCGCGTCATTCGGTTATTTTCTATTAAACCGGAACCCGCCTGTCCCCACCCGGCCTTCCCCTGCCGCGGCGGTGTCCGCTCCCCGCCGTGCCCTGCAGGGACGCGGTGGCCATGGCGCTCTGTGCCCAGGTGAGGAGGCGTCCGACGCCCCGGAGCGACCGAATGAGCCGAGGAAGCTGACGGGAGTGACCTGGGGCCTCTGCCGGAGGACGGCGGAGCAGGGCGGGGGTCAGGGTGGGAGGTCGGGTTTGGGAGTGACTGTGTGAGGGGGTGACACGGGGGAGGTGATGGTGTGTATGGGGTGACTGGGAGTGCTAAGGGGAGGGGACAGTGAGAGGGAGCCTGAGGGGTGTTTGGGGCAGGGGTGGCAGCGGGGGGTTGTGGGAGTGATGGGGGATGATGGATGTGGGGATGTCGAGGGGTGACAGGGGTAGGTGACAATGTGGTGATTATGGGGTGGGTGATGGTGTGAGAGTGTCTAGGACCGATGGGGGTAGGTGACAGTGTGAAGGTGTCTGGTGGGTGCTTGGGGCAGGGGTGACAGCGGCGGGGATGATGGGGGGTGTCTGGGGGATGACAGGGTGGGTGACAATGTGGGGGATATGGGGTAGATGAGTATGTGTGTCTGGGGGTGTTTGGGCAGGGGTGACAGGGTGACGGCTGGGGGTTATGGGGCAACGGACCGTGCGTGCGCGTACTTGGGGTGCCGGTGCCGGGAGGGGCAGAGGGGGAGTGTCCCGGTGGGGCGCGGCGTGCCACACGCATCCGGTAGGCGGGGCCTTGGGGGCGCTTCCGGTGCGGGGCGCGGACAGAGGCGGCGGGTAAGTGCGGCGCTGTCACCCCCCCGCCCCCCCCCAAGTCCATCCGGTACCGGGCGGCGGGGCCGGGCCGCGGGGGAGGCGGGGTCTGCCCTGCGCTTCGCTCCGCCTCGGCCAGGCCCCTCCTGCAGCCGGGGCCTTGGCGGGGCTCCCGGGGAAGGGGCTCGGTGCCGCCGTGCGGGAGGTTCCGAGGGCTCCCTCGGCCGGCCGTGGGATGTAGCGCCGGGTGCTGCGGGAGGCCGGGGTCAGCACACCGGGGGTCAGCACACCGGGTCCCCGCAGGGGTTGCTGCACTGAGGCGGTTTCTTTCCTGATCAGCTTTAAGGCGGCTTTTCACAGTGTTTTGGGGCAGAAACCCGGATTTGCCCGAATAAGCCGCATCTCAATAAACGCGGAGGGGCTTTAGTGAGCTCCGTCCACCTTTGGTCTGGGTTTAGTTCTGAAGTTAACTGTAAAGTTTCTTACCGCGTTCTTCAGCGAGTGGAGGCAGGCTCCTGGTGACATCCCTGTGCAGATGGGTTCTGGCTGCCAGTGTAGCAGCACCCTGGTGATGTGAAAGGTTGCCACCAGCCACTTGTAATGCAAAGGGAAAATGTGTTTCTTTCCAGGCTCTGGAGGTCCAGCCGGAACTTTTCGTTCACATGGCAGCAGCGAACAACACCCCTCCGGGCTCTCTGGATCTCAACCAGCCAGGATTTGCAAAGGAGATCCTGGGAACGAAACTGGAGGTCAAATACCTCTGCTCCGATTGCAAGAACATACTGAGGCGCCCGTTCCAAGCGCAGTGTGGGCACCGCTACTGCTCCTACTGCCTCAAGAAAATTATAAGGTAACTGTGCCTTCGGTCTGATGGCAAAATGCTTGGAAAGGTGTTTTCAAGCAGAAAAAGAGAGAAAAGTTTTCTTTTTCAGTGAGAGAGCTGCGTTGAGGTGCAGCATCAGATCGTCTTCAAGGGGATGTGTGGTCTCTGACTTGTTCTGTTGTTCTGGAGGTGCTTCAGAGTTCCCTTTCCAGGATCCCATGGGTTGGTTTTGCTGTTCAGGTGCCCGTCCGGGTGGATCACCCATCTGCTTCACTCTCCATCACAGCCACTGAAGGAACTTGCTCTTAAAAGTCATCATGTGGTAGTTGTGCCAAAGCTGGCTGCTGGAAAAGTTTCCTGGTGCTCTGCCTCGCTTCTGCCTTTGAATAAGGGAAGTGGAATCCATGGTTAATCAGGAGAAGAAACAAAAAGCCAGAGTCAGAAATGGGAATCGGAAATACCCCTGAGCAAAGGCGCAATGGGATGTTTTCAGAACAGGCAAAAAAGTTACCAGAAATCGCTTTATTGTTAAATGATAACTTGGTCTCTTGTTGTTGTGTTTGATGATTATTTTCCTGTCTGGTAGTGCTGGACCTCAGAAGTGTGCCAGCTGCATTCAGGAGGGGATCTTCGAAGAGGGAATTTCGATTTTGGAAACAAGCTCAGTAAGTAAAAATGCATTTTGAAAACTCGAGCAGCTCTCTGATGGCACTGACACCATGTGCAGTTTGCGTTTAAAACCCAAGCTCATAGAACCCCTTCTTCTTAGGAAATGTTTGTTTCTGTAGTAAGAGTTCTGGTTAATGTGGTGCATTCCCCAGCTTCTGAAATCCAGGTCATGTTGCAGTGGTGGTGGCCCACTTAAACGCTGTAATAACCATGTGTTCGCCATTAGCACACCTCTGAGGATGTGATGTGGCAATGGGATGGGCAACTGGTCTTGAGAAAGAATTAAGAGACCAAACCAAAACTGCAGCCCCGGTAATGCTTGTGGTTTGCTTGTGTTTTTTTCCATTTCAGGCTTTCCCAGACAACGCAGCTCGTCGGGAGGTGGAAAGTCTGCCTGCTGTCTGTATTAACAGTGGCTGCACTTGGAAGGGCACTATTAAAGAATACGAGGTAAAGACCAGAGCAAGGCCTGTGATGTCTGTGTCCTTCTTCTGTCCTCTGTGTCTGGGGAAGGCTCAGGTTGTTTTCCTGGACACTGATGGTGGTGGTGGGAGCTGTTAACTCCATGGACTAATCAATGAGCTGGGATATTCTTGGCTGTGCTGGGGGTGCGTGCCCTGCTGAGCACACAGGCTGAACTGAAACCGTGTCAGATTTGCTTGGCACCAAGCATGTCCCTTCCCTGATGGGATCCACTCACTATCTCCAACTCCTTTCTGCTATGAAAGAAAGACAAGCAAACTGTGAAGCAGCTGTGCTGTGCCATGGGGTGGTTGTGAAGTTCCCTGTGTTGTGTGAACCCAAGACCTGCTTCAGACCCGTAAGCTTGGGGAAAGCAGCCTGGCCATGACCTTGCTTCCAGCCAGCAGCCCCATAGCTGCCAGGGCTGTGGGACTGGCTGTTGGTCACTGGCTGGGCAGCTCTCACTCTGAGCTGCTCTGGGCCAGGATCCTGCTGGACAGGGTGGTTGTTTGACTCTTGCTCTTCTCAAGGAGCCCACCAGCTTTTCAATCCAGGCCTTAATTGTGGCTGGGGGTGTTTGGTCGTTAGCATGTGTACAGCTAAACGGTGCTTTGTGAGAAGTGTCTTTGAGCTGAGGATGGCAGTGGATGCTGTGTTCCCTGTGCTTTCCAGCAGTTCACCTCTGCTGTGGCAATCTCTGTTGTTGAAATGCACTGGTAGTTGTGAATGGATATATACTTTGGTGCTCCATAAGGGACAGTTTTGTCATTCCTCTTGGGGCGGAAGAACCACCACGTGCAGGGCCTGAGATAAGGAATAGATTTTATTTCCCTCTGACACTTGCCCTAGGTAAAGGCTGTAGCCCTGTGGTTCATGGAGCTTTGAGATGTGTGACTAGAACCTTGGTCTAGGCTAACATTTGGATTGTCTTTGCGATGCCACTGCAGGGTGGCTGGAAGCTGTGGATCCTGCCTGGCTTGCTGAGCCCATTAACAGAGATGCTGATGCTTTTGCACCCCTGCTTTCCTGTCCTGCTCTCTAGAACTTTCTGCTTCTTTACGCTGAAAGTTAAGTCCAAAAGATGAGGGGATGTAGGGTGCTAAATGGTTGTCCTGCTGTGAGGCCCTCACTGTGACAGATCTGGAAGTGGTTCGTGATGTGGATGGATGACTGAATAAATGTCAGGCTAAAGCTTCACTTCCATGCAGCACTGAGAGTCTGGGAGTTGTGTTTCAGGGTACAGTGTGTTTTAATGAGGTTCCAGGTTGGAGCTGTGCTGTTGGGGCCTGCAGATTGCTTGACCCAGGCTTGCTTTCTGGAGCAGTGGCTAGAAATCTGATTCCCACTGCAGGGTTCAGAATGGTGATTGTAGTAAGAAAGCTCAGCTCCGTTAACTAAATCGAATCCTGCTTCTCAGCAGCTTCCAGTGCTGGTGGCTGTGCTGTGACTGGTGAGCAACTCTGAGCTGTTTGTCCTGGGTTTACAAAATGTCTTAAAGAGTTCCTGCAGAGCTCAGCAGAAACCATCAGCTGTCAAACGTGCTCCTGTGTGATCCTGCAAGTGTTTGAATGCAGGCTTGAGTCAGCAGAACTTCACTAGAAGTTCAAAAGGGCAATGAGGTGTCCTGGGGTAACTCCTGATTGAGTGAGCCCAGAGGAGGCCTTGGAGATGCTGCGAGGGCTGGAGCAGCTCTGCTCTGGAGCCAGGCTGAGAGAGCTGGGCTGGGGCAGCCTGGAGAAGAGAAGGCTCCTGAAGGGGAGACCTTAGAGCAGCTCCAGTGCCTAAAGGGGCTGCAGGAAAGCTGGAGAGGGGCTTGGGACAAGGGCCTGTAGGGACAGGCCAAGGGGAATGGCTTGAACCTGCCCGAGGGGAGACTGAGCTGAGCTCTTAGGCAGAAGCTCTTCCCTGTGAGGGTGCTGAGGCGCTGGCACAGGGTGCCCAGAGAAGCTGTGGCTGCCCCATCCCTGGCAGTGTTCAAGGCCAGGTTGGACACAGGGGCTTGGAGCAAGCTGCTCCAGTGGAACGGGTCCCTGCCCGTGGCAGGGGTTTGGGACTGGATGAGCTTTAAGATTCCTTCCAACCCAAACCAGTCTGGGATTCTGTGAAGTCTGTCTTGCAAGGCTGCAGGTGTGTGTGATGCTCCAGAATCTTTTGTCCAAATACTGAAGAGCATCTGGATCAAGTGCCTCTTTTTAAGCTCTCCACCTGATTTTCAAGGTTCCTGTTTAGTGCTTTGCTAAACCAAAGCAGAGGTGGGTTTGGGGGTGCCTGGGCTGCGGGTCTGCAGCAGTGACTGTGGCTGTCACAGGTTTTGTTAGTGGCGGGGCAGTTCTGTGTGAGGGAAGGGGAGTGGAGATTCGGAGCAGCACTGGCCCGTTCACCTGGGGCTGAGGCTCTCACACAGTCGCACCTCCCTGTTCAGTCTGACAGGGGAAGGTTATTTCGTGCCCTCATGGGAAAAGCTGCCTCTTTCCTGGGAACTGGTGGGAGGAGGCACCCGCTGGCTCGGGTCCTCTCTCCTCCCAGCCAGCTGCCTGCCAAGGAGCTGTGCCATCTAATCAGGCCGGGCAGCCCTGGTGTGTGTGCCTGGGGAGGGCTGATGAATGGAGACGTCAGAACATCTGCGTTAGCCCAGAGCGGCTCAGAGTGCTGGGGGCTAGTGTCAGCCCCAGCCTCGTGGCCAGGCTCCTTGCTTTAGTGCCGAGCTCATCCCCGGCAGGGCGGGCCCGTAGCCATCGGTGTGTGTAACGTCCTGCCCCAGCTCTGCGCTGGAAAGTCCCTCGCTGCTGTGCTATTTCCGACGGGACATGGAAAGTCCCTGAGAGCAGATTCATTGTTTGCTAATTTAAACCCCTGTGTTCGTGGCCAGGGAGGTTTGCCCAGCTGCTGTATCCACTTACACTGCAGGAGGCCCTCCCTCCTGCTCTGCTGAGCCCATCGGGGCACGAACAAGAAAGAAAATGTTCTCCAGCTGGAAAGCTCTGGCCCCTCAGCTTCAAAACCTAATAAAGCTGATGGCAGTTTTGCTTCTCTTCAGGCAGGCCAAAGTTCAGGTCTCAAAAGGGACATACAGAACAGAGCGTGCAATCTGCTTGGGCATGACTTGCATTTCTGGTTGAAGCTGTGTGGAGCAGAGGAAATACTTCAATGCTGAGCACATGTCTGGGGTTATAAATTCGTTTTTTCACATTTTGTAACTATTACATGTCATTTGGGTAACGCAGCTCGTGGCGGGGCTGAGGGGGGTTCCTTCTAACCAGTAATCTCTCTGTATGTGTGGGTTTCCCAATGAGTCTGCCTGAGTGTACAAAGAGCAAAGCAAGCTGTGGGCAGGAGCCTTTCGATTCAGGTGGAAAGTCTGAGGAGGGTTGTACAAACTAAAACTGGCCCCTTTCAGCAAGAGGAAAGTCCAAGAGAACCTGCCCTGTGGTGCCCAGGGAGAGGGAGTTTGATGTTTCCCAGCTTTGGCCTGTTTCTTTTCTTGCCTTCCAGTACCTCCAGTTGGCCACATCTCTGCTTTATCAACCTTGCTCTGGCTTATCAATGTATCTTCAGTTCTCATGTGCCTTCTCCTACCACTTGCTCCCTTTCTTCATCTTATCCCCCCTCCCCACCCTGTCCCCTGTCCCCCAGGACATGGGATGGGAGGAGGGGGCTGCAGCGGGTGTTCAGCCTTGGCGATTCCATTTGTTGCCCAGAACAGAGGTTTTAACCATGGCTTGCTCATCTCAGGAGATACAGAGTCATTTGAGACAGAAGGTGATGGAATTGTCTAGGTTTTGTAAGGAGAACTAAGTTTTAAGTTTAATCCTGACATCAGTATTTAAAAGGAGTTTTGAGGTGTGGGGGGTCTCAGGAAACAGATTTGCTCAGCAAATGAGGACAGGGACTGTCACCTGTGGTGATAACCTACCCTGGTCCAGCTGGAAGGCGTATGTTCTCCTTGGAGGCTATTGTCACCTTGATTTTGAAGAGCTCACTTCAGGTGAAGGTTGTGAAAGATGCAGAATGTCAGAAGATGTTACTCCAAAGCCTGTGGTGTCAGAGGAGGCTTGCAGCCCTTTTGGGGCTATATGGCTTCCTGAGACAAGGAGGACAGGGTAACAGGGCAGTGCCTTACTACCTAGTGTTCCTACTGGGAGATGCTGGAGAAGCCTTTGTGTGGAGAAACTGTTCCTGTTCAGAAATGCTGCTGGGGCCTGTGAGCCAGGGGGTCCTCCTGCTTCGTGGTCTTCACTGTTCCATGCTGCATCCCAACAGGCTTTGGTGGTGATTTTCAGCTTAGGCTGAAAGCTTCATCTTCAGATTTCTGCACATTGCTTAGAACAGAGCTGCTGGTCTTTGAAGCTGCTTCACCTGGCTCCTGTTGCCTCCAAGGTGTATTCTGAGCGGTTTATAGCAGTGTTGTGTGCACAGGATATGGCATTTTAAGCACTGTGGCAAGCACACACACTGATGCTGGCAGAGGGTGACAACCCTTCCTTTTAAAATCCAGTAAGCATTTACAGTTTGTTCTGAAGGTTTTGGCTCCAGGTCATGGCATGTGTTGGGGGGTGGTTTGCAGCCAGCCCCAACCTCACCAGCAATTTGCCCCAAGACCAGATCACTTCCTTATGGGGGAACCCTTGACTTGTACATGCAGGTGACCAGAAGCACCTCCTGCTTTGGCAGAAGGGATCTGACACCTTTCCTTTCCAGAGCTGGAATTGGGGCCCACAGACAGACCCCAGCCTCCCTCACAGTCCCCAGAGCAGTTTCTGTATCTGGCTGCCCAGACATGAGGCAGTTTCTCATCCAAGCCCGTAGTGGGAGCTTAGCCATGGGGAATGCCAGCGTGTGGTGGGAGCTGGAAAGCCCCGGCTGGAAATGGTCTGCCCTTGGCTTGTAAAACCAGCTCAGCCTTGTCGTGGCCCAGTAAGTGAGCACTTTGAGCATCTGCTCCTTGAAGAGCAAAAGGCTGTCAGGAGCTCTGAGGTGAGAGCTGTGTGTCACTTCTAGGCAGTGATGAAACCCCTCAGTCTGAGCACAGCTTGGGGGGGATGTGGGGCAGCACCCCAGGGGGATGCTCCTTGGGCTCCACATGTCTGGCAGGAGCCAAAGCTGTGATCAGGCACACCCCTGGGCCTTGGCCAGCCTGGAAAAAGGGGGTTTGAAACCACAGGTTCGACTTCACGTGGAAGGCACGTGTCCCAGTTGTACTCTTTGTCTCAGCTCCCCCTCTCTGGGTGCCAGCGGTGTTCTCAGCCTCACGCTGTGACAGTCGGGTTCACAGCCTGCTCCCTGTGCTGCCTGCGAGGCAAAGGAGTCCACCTTTGGTGCCTCTGCTCCTGGAGCTCCACCACCTTGTCCAGCGTGCAGGTCAGGCAGGCCACCGAGAGGCTCCATCCCAGGACTGTCCCTTGTGATGTGAGCAATGGAGGTGAAGCTTTGTATGCTGCTAGAAGAGAGGGGGACCCCTCCAGCGGCGCTGTTCTGGGACCTGGTTGGCTCTTGGTGTGCCTCGAGTGTTTCCTGCCGTGGGAGCTGTCACATCGCTGTGGGAGATGAATTCATTGCTGTGGGAGCCTGGCTCTGTGAGTGTGAGGGGAGGCCTGGGGTCCCCTCCCTGGTGGCAGTTTGTTCTTGAGCAGGGGCCTCATTAGATGTGAACATCATGTCTTGGGCGCTTTCATGTGAGTGTGACTGTAGCTGTTAACTGTAGCCTAGCACACCCGCAGTGTTATCCCCTCATCAGACGTTCCCAGTTGCTGTGAACCTCCCTTAGGTGTCAGCCCACGGAGACTTGGGGTAGTCCCAATGCTGTAATGTTTAATTTCCTTGGCAAGTGGATTCAGTGTTCTGGGTTTGCAGTGCAGTGGGCACATGGAGGTGGGAGCACAGCAGTGTGCAGGATCCTGCTGGCCATGGGGCTGGGTCAAGCTCAGGCTTATCTAAAATGCACTGGGGTCTTGCCTTGCAACCAGGGAAGAGCAGAGCCTGGTTTAGGAAACGGTAGGAAACCCGCTGCTGTTTTCAGATGCTTCTTGTTCCTTCAGCCTTCTTCAAAACCTGCTCTTGCTTTCAGATGTTTTCCATGTGTGAAGTGCTGCCTTTGTGTCCCTCTGCCAAGAAATCCCAGATCAAATGTGTATAATCAGCTCTAAGAGCTGGTGAGCAAACCCCTTAATGCTGAAAGCAAAAATTACTGTACTGGAGAGAGGCGTGAGGGAAGCTGTTGGGAACCACAGCATCCCTGCTGCCAGTCCTTGTCCTCAGTTGTGATGCTGTGGCATTGGGCAGCAGAGGAAAGGTGATGATGGTTTCCCATGTCATCACTGACATGCACAGAACCACAGACTGCTTTGGGTTGGAAGGGACCTTAAAGCTCATCCAGTTCCAACCCCCTGCCATGGGCTGAAGCCACAAGCAGTTACTGGTGGGATCATCTTTGTTTTTGTCACTTCTTTTGAGGTTTAGTTATTTGTGATGCCAAGTGAACTTGCTTGGACCTCTGTGCCCAGCGTGTCCCAGCAAAGGGAGCAGTTTGTGTCGGGTACCAACTGATGTGACAGTCTCTGAAAGCTCCTGTTCTCAGATGGCACTGTCAGTTATAGACAGGGCTCCTGCTTCCCAGCCTTGTGTTGCTGGGCTCCATGAAGCAGCACAAGGACCATGTGTGTGGTAGCTAAGCCCATGTGTGGGGAAAGCTTTGAGCAGGCCTTAACCAGCCTTAGGACACCCCTGAAGAGGAGGAGTCACAGCATGGATGGGCACGTTGACTTGAGAGGAGCAGGATGTCCCTGTGTGGCACATTCTGTCTTGGGGGCTCTAGAGCCCCTGGGGACCTGGAGAGGTGCACAAAGCAGCTCGTGCTCCTTGTCACAAGGGATTCGTGTTCCCTTGCAACCAAGGCACTGGAGGCTTATTCTCAGGGTCTCTCCACAGTTCTGTGAGCCCACCCTCTATCTTGTAGCCAGGGTAAGATGCCAGAGGAGCTGCCTGCTGGACATGGCAGTTCTGAAGCTGGAGAGTGCCAAAGCCCTGGCAGTGCTCTGGCGCACCCGGTGCCACCTCAGCTGCCTCTCCTCTGCTCTCCTGTTAGTTTTCCTTCCCTTTCATTGCTCCCTTCCTGCTGCCTCAGCTTTATCTGTGCTCATGGTCACTGTTGCCATGCTTGGAGGGGACTAATGGACTGTATTTAGGAGATTCACCTGCTTGAGCGAGTCCAGAGGAGGCCATGGAGATGCTGCGAGGGCTGGAGCAGCTCTGCTCTGGAGCCAGGCTGAGAGAGCTGGGCTGGGGCAGCCTGGAGAAGAGAAGGCTCCTGAAGGGGAGACCTTAGAGCAGCTCCAGTGCCTAAAGGGGCTGCAGGAAAGCTGGAGAGGGGCTTGGGACAAGGGCCTGTAGGGACAGGCCAAGGGGAATGGCTTGAACCTGCCCGAGGGGAGACTGAGCTGAGCTCTTAGGCAGAAGCTCTTCCCTGTGAGGGTGCTGAGGCGCTGGCACAGGGTGCCCAGAGAAGTTGGTTTGGCTTGAAGGGCCCTCAAAGCTCCTTCAGCTCCAACCCCTGCCATGGGCAGGGACCCCTTCCACTGGAGCAGCTTGCTCCAAGCCCCTGTGTCCAACCTGGCCTTGAACACTGCCAGGGATGGGGCAGCCACAGCTTCTCTGGGCACCCTGTACCGGTACCTTTTGGCCCTTGTCCAAAGCCCCTTCTCCAGGTTTGTTGTCAGCCCCTTTACAGCAGCTGCCTGACTCTCAGAGGCTTGTCCCTGCTGCAGGAGCTCACGGATGTGTGCTTGGGAAAGGTGTAAATGTGAGGATTGCCCCATTCCTAGGGCAGAGGGAGTGCAGCAGATCGGGCTTGAATGCCAGCCCCTGCTCCAGCTTCTGGGTGCGGTGGATTTCTTCCTGCAGCAATACCATCACGTCTGTTCAGATGCCTGTATCGAGGGGGGGAGGAACAGGGGATTCCAGAAGGGCCTGAAACTGTTTATACAGGAATGTTTGTTGGGAGGTTTGGCTCTGTGCGGGTTCAAGCCAATGCTTCTGAGCGCCTCGAACACTTCCCATAGACCAGTTGCACTTTCAGCTTAGCTATGTGGGGCTGGTTCCCTTCTGCTGCAAGCTGGGCAAGCTTCACAGCCCTGCCTGCATCTTGGGTGCTACATGGCAATGGTGCAAAGGTTTAGATAACTGCTGGACGTGGGGAGTGCGGTGGGGGGGGGGGGGTAGTTTCATACCTGGCACACTGGCACAGGAGAAGCTGAGTTTAAATACTCCTGTTTTAAATAGTTGTCTCTGCAGCAAAGTTTCCTCCTTCAGCCACAGCGTCTGTTCTGCTGCCAGGGTGCGTGGGTCCTGGGGATGATGCTATCTGGTGTTTCTAGAACATGAGAGCAGTGGGTGGGAAGAAGAAAGGGCTCAGCCCCTTGGAATGAGTGGGAGGAAGGAAGGTGCTCTGCCTCCTCCTCCTCCACAAGCAGGGTCTGGACAGGCAGCACTGCCCACCCAAACGAAACCACCCAGGTCACTGCAGGGACAGGGCAGCGAGGCCTTGAGTCTGGCCACTCATGTGAGGTATAAAAAGGAGAGAGTAAGTAAGAAGCCAGACCTGAGCCGCTGATGGGTTTCACTTTCCAGTTTCTGATGTGGTAACTATTTAAATCTGTGCATGGTTCCCCCCATGCCTCCAAGACAGTAACTTGGTTTAGTAAAGAATAAATGTGACCACGTTTCCAAAGCATCTGGCTTCAGGTGGCTGCTGTATGAATGCTTCTGGGGGTTGTGGATGGGTTTCTGGGGTTTGTGTTTGTTCCCCCCACTGTTACTACCATAGCAGGATACTTCATTGCACTTATCTTTTAACCTGAATATTGAACTGCATGTTCATGGCATTTGCAGTGCCTTGTCCCAGCTGGGTTTTGTGTTTTTTGAGCAGTGGGAATGCCACAGAAAGCAGAGGCACGTTCTGGCATTCTCAATTTAGCTACTGACACTGGTGTCTGCTGAGTTCAGAGTATCACATTGCCCCAATCGCTTGTGCAGCTCCTCTGGCTGCCAGACACAGTGTGTGTGTGCTCTGGCCTGTGTGTGGGGACTGGGGAATGAAACTGGTTTGTTCTTTCTGGTAAAAAGATGGTTTTCTGATTCAAATGTGAAGATGCTAGCAGAGAGCTCACCCAGTGAGTGATGACCAGGCTCTGGGTCATGGCTCCTCTGATAACCATCACGGGGGATCAGTTACACAAAATGATCCTGCTGAGATAGAGGCTTCCTTCACTCGACCTGCCCAAACATAGGTGTTCCTGGCAGAGCCATAAATGGAGCTTCCTGTTGATTATCTTGTTCATCAAAGCAGTAATTTGATATAAAAAGAAATGATTATAGCAGCTTTAAACTGGGGCTGAGGTTACAGAGGCACCTGAAATCTGGTAGCCTGCAGATCACACAGGTGAGTCAGCATCTGCATCAGCAGCACAGCCGAGGCTGGAGTGGAGGGTGGTGGAGCACGGTGCTCTTCTGTAATGATGTATGAAACTATTGCTGTTGAATTGTTGGGTTCATCACACAACCTCACTGGAGCTCTTCTTTAGAGGACAATTTCCTGTCAATTCTCCTACAGGCTCACGATGAAGTCTGCCCTGAATTCCCGCTGACTTGTGAAGGCTGTGGGAAGAAGATCCCAAGGGAGAAGGTAACCCCCACCTGCTGGAGATCTGTGTGCTGTGGTGGGGTTTGGAGCCCTGAGGGGCTGACACTGGTGTTCGCAGAGCCAGGAGGGAAACTGGGACCATTAATTAGGAAGTGGGGTGTATGAAACGAGTGGTGGCTATTAGTGCAGGTGTGACCTTTGTATAAGGCTCGGAATGCTGGTTGGGTGTGAGAACATGACCCATGGCACGTGTAGTTGTGTGTTAGTGCTGCCAGCACCACCTCTCTTGGAGCAGTGTGTTTGCCACGTCAGGGTGCAGAGGCTCCGTGGCTCTATCACCCACAGGTGATACGGAATTATGCACTTATGGAAAGGGAGCCCAGCTAAATGAATGAATTTCTAATGAATGGTGTCATGGAATCCGTGCTGCTGGCTCCTGGGCAAGGCTCAAAACTGGGAAACCAAGGGTTTGGGAATCACCTTCAAAAAGCACATTTATGTGAAACTCTCCTGCCTTCCATGGGCAAAGGTTCTGAGTAGTGCTGTCAGAGGCCCCTGTAGCAGTGCAGGGGGGGACAGAAGTGTTACAAAGATGAGCAAAGAGTTCTAAATGGGGAGGTAATGAAGGGCTTTGCACTGGGGTGTGGGGATACAGATCTGTTCTGCAGGCTGGAACTGGAGCCCAGCAGAGACTAACTGGGCTTGGATTCCTGTAGGACTCCAGTGGGTGATGTGTCCTGTGTGTAAATATTAACTCCCTCTTCTATCCCTCTCCAAACTTCAGTTGATTCTCTGCAGTGTTGTAACCTAACTCATTAAGCAAGCCAGATGGATCTAGAAGCCTTTAAGAAAGTGGTTTAAAAACAGTTTTAATCGACATCTGTTGTAGCAGATGTAGGTGTTAAATGTGGAATATGGTGGTTGTTCAGAACAGACCACCTATACGATGATGAGAGGTGTATCACACCCAACCTGATGATGTGCCAGTGCTTGTTAGCATTAGTCATGCGTTGTGTGGGAACCCAAAGGAGTCCTCTTGGCAGCTGGGGGGTGCTTCTACAGCACTTCTCTGTAGCAATACCCACTGTTGGCCTTGGCTCTTTTGGAGAGGGGCTTTGGACAAGGGCCTGCAGGGACAGGCCAAGGGGAATGGCTTGAACCTGCCAGAGGGGAGACTGAGCTGAGCTCTTAGGCAGAAGCTCTTCCCTGTGAGGGTGCTGAGGCGCTGGCACAGGGTGCCCGGAGAAGCTGTGGCTGCCCCATCCCTGGCAGTGTTCAAGGCCAGGTTGGACACAGGGGCTTGGAGCAAGCTGCTCCAGTGGAAGGTGTCCCTGCCAGTGGCAGGGGTTGGAACTTTAAGGTCCCTTCCAACATAAACCAGTCTGGGATTCCCTGATTCTTCACAGCAGTGGTCAGGCAAGGTGAGGTGTGGTGTCATTGGCACCCTGCAAGGGAATGCTGAACCCAGAGAGCTCCTGCCCTTGCACAGCTGGACCTGCAGTAAGTGCTGTAAGTGCTCAGGAAGGACCAGTGGGAAGCTTTTTGTTCTCAGATGTGTAATGATCAGTTGGAAGCTGTGGCATGTCCCAGCAAGGGTTATGTGAAGTCTACAAAATCTAATGGCTGTCTGCTTCACAGAGTCATTCTTGATCCTGCCCTTCCTCTGTTTTCAGTGAAGCTTGTTCAGCATCCATAACATGTACCTGTGCTGGTTGCTTTCTCTTTCGTGCATATGGAGGTGAGAAGTGAGCCATCAAGAGAAAAAACCTGCCTTCCAGGTGTCAGCACTAGATTTGTATTATAGTCAAAGTCATATCTGATGGCAGACAGTGTCCATGTGTAACCGTGCACTTGGGCAGTGAGTGATTAGCAGTGGCATGGATGTTTAGGATGCACCTTCAGTTTCCTAAACACCAGCAAGATGGAGAGGGAGCTACTGGGGCACAGAAGATCTAACATTGCCTTCCTTGCTTTCTAGTTTCGGGACCATGTGAAGAGTTGTGGCAGATCTAAAGTGCCTTGCAGATTTGAGGTTGTTGGATGCACTGAGGTGGTAAGAGCTCATGTGTAGATGTTCATCTTGGGGCTTGTTTTCAGTTCCAGTGTTAGTAACCTGCAAACTGCTGTTGTCCAAACAGATGCTTGCATTCAGGTATTTGAACAAAGGGGTGTTTCAAACCCTTTGCACATGGAGCTTAACATCACCTGCTGTCCAGAATTGATGTATCCAGAGAATGAGCTCACTGTGGAAGGAAACCTCTTTTGGGGAACACTCCAAGTGCTTTGATGCTCTGGGGTTTGTGCTGCTTTCAGTTCTAAGCACAGGACTGGGGCCAGGCCAGTATTTCTCCACGTGACTTAGTTTTCCAGCTCCTATTGGTGATGTTCATACAAATCCCTCCTCCGGGGGATTACATGAGTCTTTGTCCTTCGATGCTGTTGAGTACATCTGATAGAGCCCTTCTGGGGAGTACCAGAGGAAAGCAGAGCAGAGCAGTGTGCACAGCTGGGGAAACATTAAGCATCCACTTTGTATGTGAGCTGCAGCATCTGTAAAACTAAACAAAAACCCCATCCCCAAACCAGTTTTCTTAACTATCTTTATTCGGTTTTTACCCTTTATAATTTAAATCTTAAGCTGTGACCTTGCAAGGAGGGACTTGTGTGGATGGTGACAGTGTAGGGGGAGCTTGCTGAATGGGGGATGTATTTCTCTTTATGTAGGTGGAAAAAGAAGAGCTTCTCGAACACGAAAGGAAGTGCTTGGCAGAGCATCTCTACATGCTGCTGAGTTTTGTGCTCAGCCTCAAGGCTGGGGCTGGAGACCTGAAGCCTCTTCCTGTCCTTTCCTCATCACAAAGCGCCCCAGTGCTGGCAGGAAACTCAGAGTTGGAGGTCTCCAGGTCCCTGGAGCTCCTGGGAAGATGTGAGGCCCTTGAGAGGAAAACTGTGACCTTTGAGAACATTGTGTGTGTGCTCAACCGGGAGGTGGAAAGAGTGTCTCTGACAGCAGAAGCCTACAACCGGCAGCATCAGCTGGACCAGAAGAAGATCGAGACGCTGAGTAACAAGGTGTGTGAGCACTGCCTTGGGCTTCCCAGCACCCTGAGCAGAGGCTTTTTCTGTTTCCTTCCCATGTTATTAGCAAAGCTTCACCAGCCCTGAAACTCCACATATCCCAAGGGCAGGACTAAGATATCATCTGTGCCCGTGCCCAACCCTTAAAAGGTTCCTGGAAAAGACAGGGATTGAACTGACAAGCATAAAGCGTTCAGATCTCTGCTAGTAATCGAGTTGTGCAGATGCTGAGATGTTGTTCCTGGATGAGGTTTTCCAATGAGAGACAGAGCACCCAGCTTTCCACTGCATCACTCTGGATCTATGGGGCTGCTTCTAGACCTTCCTAAAGGAGTGTAGTCATCAGTGCTGCACTGCAGCGTTGTGGCAGACACGGTCTGGAGGCGTGAGGAAGCTGTCCCCAGCAGCATGCTCCAGCCCAGGCACTGCTGAGCACTGCAGGCTGGGAGTTGTGCACTTCCCAGTGTACCTGTGCTCTCAGCAGGGGAGCTGCCAACACTGGTGTGATCCTGTTAGCCAGGAGTGACTGACCCTCTGGAGACCCTGGGGGCTGGGTGTAGCTTCTTCTCAGTCTAGCTTTGCCACAGTGCTGAGTTGTTGGTCCCCCCTGATAGCGGAATAGACTCCACAACTTGGTTAAAGTTGTAAAGTAGGTATGCTTTATTCAGCTGAAGACGCACGGGGGATTGGTCCTCCAAAAGGCATGCGTGCCTCAGTGCCGTTTTCCTTCTACATTTATCCTGTAAAGTCATACATATGTATTAGGCTGCACAATACGCCTATACATATTCATATTCTATCCCCGCTTCGTATTATAATGAGCTAAAAGGCTCTCCACGCATGCGCAGTGCCTCCTGCTGGTCTTGGGCAGGGGTCTTCAGATGAAGTAAGTAGTCTTCCTCTTGTGGGTAGGGGTCTTTAAGATGAAGTAAACGAGTTTGCCTCAGGATTGAACTTTTTACCTCTGGTCCTCACGCATGCTCTTTAGGAGCTGGATGGGTCTGGTCTATGTCCAACTGGTTTAATGAGCTATTCTCTTCGTTAGGAAGTTCTATCTTGGTACTGCCTGATAAGGCATCTGCTGAGCTTGTCAAACAAGCTATAACTTAGGCAGTATCTTCTTGTACAACCCCCCTATTCTCCTCATTAGGAGGTTCTGTCCTGGTACTGCCTGATAAGGCATCTGCTAAGCTTGGCAAGCCAGCTATAACTTAAGCAGTACCCCTTGTACAACCCCCCCCCCGTACATTTTGTCTAACCCCCTTGTACAACCCCCCTGTACACAATAGGCCACATCAGTTTCACCCCCCAGCACTTCTTGGCTGCTCAGGTAATGAAGCTCTTGCTGGCAAATTTTTCCACTTGCTGTGGAAAAGTTTGGAGCTCAAGCACTGAGCAGAAGATCAATGGATCTTCTGTGGAGGGACAGAATTCAAGAGGGAGCTTCAGTGAATCAGCTTCTGATGCCAGGTTTGTCCCTCCTGTGACCACTGTCGGTTCTGAGGAACAGCTCACACTGAAGAGTCACCCTGAAGGGGATCACAGAATCCCAGCCTGGTTTGTGCTGGAAGGGACCTTAAAGCTCCTCCAGCTCCAACCCCTGCCACGGGCAGGGACCCCTTCCACTGGAGCAGCTTGCTCCAAGCCCCTGTGTCCAACCTGGCCTTGAGCACTGCCAGGGATGGGGCAGCCACAGCTTCTCTGGGCACCCTGTGCCAGCGCCTCAGCACCCTCACAGGGAAGAGCTTCTGCCTAAGAGCTCAGCTCAGTCTCCCCTCGGGCAGGTTCAAGCCATTCCCCCTTGTCCTGTCCCTATGTTCCTTGTCCAAAGCCTCTCTCCAGTGATGGATGCTGGTGGCTACTGGCTTTCTTGGGTCTCACAGTGGTACCTGTTTCTAACCCTGTCTCCCACTGAGCAGGTCCGGCAGCTGGAAAGGAGCATTGGGCTCAAAGATCTGGCCATGGCCGAGATGGAGGAGAAGATCCGCAACATGGAAGCCTCCACCTACGATGGTGTTTTCATCTGGAAGATAACGGAGTTTGCCCGGAAGCGCCAGGAGGCCATCACAGGCTGCTCTCCTGCCATCTTCTCCCCAGGTTAATGCCTTTTGTGTCTCAGCTGGGTGTGGGATTTGTGGGGATGTCCTTGAAAAGGGGGATGCTGCCCCTTCAGATGTTCTTCTGTTCTCTTCTCCTTTCCCCATGGACCCTGAGCAGCTCTGTTTTAGCAGTGGGCAAAGTAAAGCTGGTGGTGAAATGATGCTCTTTTTGTTTGCAGAAAACCCTTTTGATTTCTCATAATGCAGAATGCAACCCTCTTAGCTCTGGAACAGCCCATCATAACCCTTCAGTAATATTCAGAGACCATAAAACCAGCAATAAAATGGTTAAAGAAGGGAGGAAATATATATTAGAGCTCCTGCAATACATTGTAGTGCCTAAAATGTGGTGGTGGAAGAGACAGTGTCTAAATTGTCTCAGCACATCCACACCCAGGAAGTGCTTAAATTGGAGGAAGGAGCTGTCCTCACAGAGCTGCTCCAGCCCCACTGTTCTTCCTGTTCCTAAAGGAGGACCTGGTGGACAGTGAGCAGTGGGTTGGGATCTGGCCTCTTTGTTGGGGGAAGAACTTCCCTGGCTGGCGGCTGTGAGATGAGGCCATCTCTTCAAACAGTTCTTGCTTGGGGGAAGCTCATCTCACAACAGAATGGTTGAAGAGGGGAGTTGGGGTTTGCCTGAGCAGGAGTTACTGGGATTGAAGTGTGCTGGAGAGCTTTTCGAACCAGCCAGAGCTGTGTGCATGTGTGGAGCAGGTACCTTGCTCCCAGTGCTGTTGTTGCGGCTGGGCCACGGGATGAAAGCAGCTGAATTGGTTCAGAACTACTCTGACGTCTGTGTTGTGGAGGGAGGCTGCTCAGAGGCCTTTTCCTCTTAAAAAAGGATTCCCCTTGTCAATGGGAGCTGCAGTGCTGCTGACACTCTGCATACAGAGGCATTTCCTTCAGTCAGCAGCAGCCTGGGAACCCCTGCAGGAAAGGCACTGCCTCCCTTTCCCAAACCTGCTTCAAATCTGGTTTGTGTGACTGAAAGGACTTTGACTCTTGCAGCCTGCCCATGTCCCACACCGTGCTCCATTGCTGCTTGGCCTGAACATCTTCAGCAACAGTGGGTTGGAGGGAGGTGCTGGATGGAGCTGACTCTGCTCCTCTGGCCATGGGCATCCCACACTGTGCCCGGCTCCAGGCCTCACACGAGCCGATGCCATCTGCATCCCTGCAGCTGGGAGGGGTTTCTAGGTTGGAGAATCAGGTCAGCAGAATGTGCCAGAGCCCAAGGGAGGGAAAGGGCTGAAACCTCTGACTGAGGAGGCTTTGTCCATCCAGACGCATGCTCTGAGTGCCTGGTTCCTCCCAGAACTGGTGCCTCCTGCTCTGTGCTGTGTGCGGGCCAGGCTCCAGGATACTCTGGCAGCAGGAGCAGGGCTCAGGGCTGTTGTAAACTGTTCCATCAAAGCAAAAGCTCCTTCGTGAGGCACCAGAAGCGCTTCATGGTGCTGGTTGGTGTCTGCAGTCTCCTGATGAATGTCTCGTATGTGGTGGGGGGGTGGGAGGTGAAGGTGCCCAACGCCAGGACTGGCTCTGGAAAAGGCAGCACTTCTTTATCTCGCAAGTGCAAAGTCCAAGGCCCTGTTCCCTGCAGCAGCCAATTGTGTTCAGAGCAGAGATCTCATTGCTGCTGCTTTAGCTGGGGAGATGGGGCTGAGAAACAAACGTTTGTTGTGGAGGTGGGGTTTTACCTTGGAAAGGGAAGCGATGGACTGGTGCTGTTCAGTCTGCAGGGAGTCAGTGAGAGGAGAGAGGCTGAGGCTGTGAATGGGACAAACAAGGGAAATGGGTGTGTTTGGTTTGCATTTAAACATCCAGGTGAGGAAATCAGTGTCACAACTTCCTCAGCAGAGTTCCTGCTCACTCACGCTGTGAGCTCACCCCGATACCACGGGGTTTTGCAAAGGGCAGAATCACGAGTTCAAAAAGGCAGATGCACACGGGAAAGGCTCATTGGGGGCCTGAACAGGGGCAGGCCAAAGGGAAGATCCAGCTGGAAACTGTCTGGTGCTGCTGGCAGCCTGCTGGGCTCCTGCTTTGCTTCTGATGCTCTTTACCTTTGCTGGGGTGGTGCGCAGGGTGCTCAGTGCTCTGCCTGGTTCCATGTCTGGGTGCTCCCACCCCTGTGGGGCCATCCTCCCTCTGATTCCCTGCCTGGCTTTATGCTCAAAGGTTTACAGGGGTGCTGAGGAGCCCCAGGGGCAGTGGGGATGCTCTGCTTGGACTAGCAGAGGGTGGCATTGCCCTGAGAGCCCTGGGGTGGAGAGGAAGGACAAGTGGGGAGTGCTGGGAGGAGGTGGTGGCAAAGCCCCATGCCCAGCTCCTGGCCCAGTGGCAGTCACAGGATGTGCTGCTGCTCCTCTGCCTGTTCATAGCAGTGCACTGAGCCCTGCTGTGAATGAGCTCAGCTCTGCCCCATGCCTGCAGTGAGCTGAGCCCCGGCCCTGTGTGAGGGCAGCTGGGGGCAGGTCCCCTCCCAAGGGGTGTTTCTGGGACCCCACACAGGTCTGGTGTCAAACATGGGCGTTCCCAGATGAGATCCCAGAGCTTGTGCCCGGCTGTGCCCGTGCCATGCGGAGTGGCAGGGATCCAACAGGAGACCAAAGCTCATGTCCCCGAGCCCCTGCTCCCACCAGAGGCAGCCGGTTTTGACAGTCCCAGGCTGGTTTGAGTGGGAAGGGACTTTAAAGCTCCTCTATTTCCAACCCCTCCCACGGGCAGGGACCCCTTCCACTGGAGCAGCTTGCTCCAAGCCCCTGTGTCCAACCTGGCCTTGAACACTGCCAGGGATGGGGCAGCCACAGGTTCCAAAGAGGGTGCAGTGAGCACTGAGGATGCTCTACACCCAGTCAGGGGTTTTGCTTCTGCTCACCAGCACTGGTGTCATGAGCTGCACAAGGTGTGTCTGGGAGGGCACACTGGGAATCACTCAGCTCCTGCCCAGGATGCTTGTGCCTCTGGGGGCAGGAGCTCTGCTCTGTGCTGCAGTGTCTCAGCTAGACCAGGGCCTTGGCACTGCCTGGCCCTGGGCTGTCCCCAGGCCAGTCTAAGATGGCATCTAACTGTTGTACCTGGTGGCTTTCCAGACCACCTCCATGCTTCAGGTGCTTTGAGACCTGGACCTGGCTTCTTCCAGGATCCAGTGTTAGAGTCCTCAGCATCCAGAGGACCGTGCTGGTGCCAACCTTGCTGCCTTTGACCCTCCCTGTGTCTGCTTTGCCTCTGACAGCTTTCTACACGAGCAAGTATGGCTACAAGATGTGTCTGCGCGTTTACCTGAACGGGGACGGCACCGGGCGCGGGACCCACTTGTCCCTGTTCTTTGTGGTGATGAAGGGGCCGAATGACGCGCTGCTGCGGTGGCCCTTCAACCAGAAGGTAGGTCTGGGACAGAGCCCACCGTGCCCAGCAGTGTGTGTCTCTAGCTTTGCACCCATTCAGGCTTCTAGATGCCACTGCTGTGGCCTGCTTGGCGAGCAGGAGGAGGAAGGGCTGTGATGGGTTGGCTGCCATGGGGTGTTGAAAGCACCCAGTGTGCCACAGGGGGCAGAGGCTGAGGCAGGGGAGCAGCAGCGTGGCTGAAGGCAAGTGGAGCCTCTGCGGGAGTTGAGGGTGAGGGAAGGGGAATGGCCCCGTTGCTCAGGGTGCAGCTGATGCTCAACCCCTATAGGAAGCTCACGTTGTGGGTCTGGGAGCTGCGGGTTTGTGAAACACTTCAGGGCTGAGCCCATGAGGTTCTGGTGCAGGGAGAGGATGGGAGACATCAGCACGGAGGTGACAGAACACCCACGGGGGGTGTTGGTGCTGGGAGTTAGCGCCGTGGGTGCAGGTTCTCAGGTCAGGGTGACAGCCCTGTGCTGCCACCAGAAGTTTCCAGTGACGGGGCAGGATGTGGGGAGGGTTCTGCAGAGGTGGTGCTGTCCCTGGCCCTGCTCTCAGGCGTTTCTTGGGGCTGGAGGTGTGTGCTGGGCTGTGGCTGTGCTGGTGCTTGCACATCTCACAGGCTTCCAGTCACTGGGTGTCCACGTGCTGCTTGTTCATCACTCTCGTGTGTGTGTTTCCACCTTTCCCCACAGGTAACACTGATGCTCCTGGACCAGAACAACCGGGAGCACATCATCGACGCCTTCCGACCCGACGTGACCTCCTCATCCTTCCAGCGACCGGTCACAGAAATGAACATTGCCAGTGGCTGCCCCCTCTTCTGCCCCGTCTCCGTGATGGAAGCCAAGAACTCCTACGTACGGGATGATGCCATCTTTATTAAAGCCATCGTTGATCTCACGGGCCTCTAACCCTCACCTCCAGGAGCAGTGACCACAGAGCCAGCCCTCTTTGTGCTGCACTTCAGGCAGGTCTCGGAGCAAGGAGGGGGCAACACGTGGAAAGGGGCAAAGCCCTTCCCAGAAAGGAACCTTCACTGTGGGTGGGAATGAGGTGTCTGATGGGAACCCTCTTCCCTGGTGTCGCAAGACCTTCCTGAGAAGATGTTTGGGCGGACGTTCACGGTTGGTGGGGAACAAGAAGGGACCGCAGGGACTCGGGTGTGTGAACTGCCGCTGCCTGGGCTCCCCGTGGGGACCGGCGCAGCTCTTGCTCTGCGCCCTTAGCGCACACCTGCAGTGCTCTGTAGGGAAAGAGGGGTTTGCCCTGGCTCCACCTGGTGTGGAGGCTCGGTGCAGCAGCCCACAGCCATCAATGTGTTCTGGGAGCTCCGGGAGCCGGCTCGGTGCAAGCCGGGCCACAGGGGTGAGGATTCCACCGCTGTTGTGGTGCCGCTGGTGTCTGCAGAGGGTGGTGCTGCCCCGAGCGTGGCTCTTGCCGTGTGCTTGGTGGCTGGTTTAGCAGCATAGAATCAGATTGCTTTGGGTGAGAGGGAGCTTAAAGCTCCTCCAGTTTTGCTGTGGCCATGAGTGGCTCTGGAGGGGCAGGTACCCAGGCTGGGTTCCAGGCTTTGCTGTCTTCTCTTCCCGCATCAGGGTCGGTGTCTGAACATGCCCCAGGGGATGGTTTGGAGGTCAGAGTGCTTGCAGTGAGGGTGCAGGAGCCTGCCCAGCGCTTGTGCTGCTGCTCTGGGCAGGAGGGTGGGCAGCGGGGTAGGGGGTGGTCACACTCCTTCACAGCTCCTATGGGTCAAGCTTTGAGCCCTGCTTGGAAGTCTCCATGTGGATCTTCACCTGTGCATGCAGGGCTGGGATGGACTCTGCTGCTCCAGCAGCAGCAGGGACCTGCCTGATGCAGCCGCTGGCATTCTGCTGTAGTTACAGGCAGCTGCTGCTCTCACCCTGTGTGTTGCCTTAGGAGGAAACAAAAGCCAAAACAACCCCAGAACTCCCACACATGCTTCCAACAGAGGAGGCCTGAAGGCAGCTGCCGGCCTGGAAATGGGGAAGAAAACCATTTCTGGACATTGAGCTGTTGGGAATTGAGTGTATTTGATGGGGGGGAAGAGGCTTGGTGGGAGTTGATGCAGCTTTGCTCTTGGGGTGCTGGACACCCATTGCCATTGGCCAAGCAGTGCCGGGGGGGGGCCTGTGGAGACACCAGCTCAGGGCAGGGGGGGAAGGTTCAGATTCGGTCACCCCCTCTCAGCATGGGCCTGGAAAAGGGTGGAAGAGCCCAAGGTGGGGGTGAAGCTCAGGCCGGTCCCTGCTGCAGGAGCTGCTCCCTGCAGTGCTGTGGCTGCAGCGTGGCCTGAGCTGGGTGCAGGGGCTGGGGCTGGGGCTGGGGCTGGCTGGGTGATGGAGCCCCAGCGCAGCCGAGCAGCAGGAACAAGGCTGTTCCTCGAGGATGGAGACTGGTCAGAACCACCAATAAAAGCTGTTTGAGGAGCATCTGTGTTGGCTGGTTCATGGGCCACTGGGTCTCTAGCAGTGCAGGATATACCCAGCATGGGTATAGCCCTGCAGGGGTGGGGGAAGCAGCCAGGGAGCTCACAGCTGCTTCAGCACCCACAGCACGAGTGTAACTTGATGGCTTTGCCCTCCCAGTTGTGCAGTTCCTTCTCCAGATGTCTTGTAGGCCCCCTTTAGTGCCTAAAGGGGCTGCAGGAAAGCTGGAGAGGGGCTTGGGACAAGGGCCTGTAGGGACAGGCCAAGGGGAATGGCTTGAACCTGCCCGAGGGGAGACTGAGCTGAGCTCTTAGGCAGAAGCTCTTCCCTGTGAGGGTGCTGAGGCGCTGGCACAGGGTGCCCAGAGAAGCTGTGGCTGCCCCATCCCTGGCAGTGCTCAAGGCCAGGTTGGACACAGGGGCTTGGAGCAAGCTGCTCTAGGATGCCCCATCCCTGGATTCTGTGATTCTCCTCCTCTCTTCGGGTCATTTCACAGCCTCCTGCCTGCCCCTCACAGCCCAGGGCAGGTGGGCTCAAGCTGCTCAGCTCCATCTGGGTGCCCCAAGCAGCCACAGGCACAGCAGGATGATGCTTCTGGCCCCAGCTCTGCTCCAGCAGAAAAACAAACTCACATTGCAAAGATGCTTTAGCAGAATATTTATTCAATGCCATAGTGAAGAGCAAAACTCAGCACAAACATAACCCCTCAGTGCCCTGCTCACTGTTACACTGAGCCGAGGAGCAGACTGCACAATCTTGGGGTAGGAGGAAGGTGGAGGCTGTTCCTATGCTGTGTGACTGGACCGAGCGCTCGGTGTGGAGCCTGTGCACACACAAAGGACTTCCCTGTTTCTGGAAGCCCTACAATGACAGCAAACCTGAGCACAGGGGCTGTGGTTAAAGCCTTGGGCACCTGCTGGGGCACAAACCCTCCTGCTGAAGGGCACAGGAGCTATTGCAGCCTTCGGTGTGCATCAGTACAGGGCCTGCTGCCTCCACGAGGTCTATGTGCAACCCCAGGGGAGTGGCAGACAACTGGCCCCATGCTCAGGGGAGGCCCCAGCCCTGCCAGGAACGTGGCTCCTTCCCAAAGCCCAGGAGCAGCTCCTGCGCCCCATCCCAGCCAGGGCAAGAGCAGGAGCTGAGTTTTAGACCCTCACATTCAGGTGCCTGCTGCAGTGAGAAAAGCCTCAGGGCCAGAATGATCAACACGGGTCCGAGTGCTGCAGCTCCACCAGCGTTGGGGCCTCATCTCCAAACCCAGGCAGAAGCTTATTCAACTGTCACGTCAGGCAGAGGAGGGACCGGTGGCCACCCATGGGCTCCTACACCCGTTCACAGAGAACATACCAAGAGAACCTAAAGTGCCCCGACTTGGGTAGCGTGGGAGGGAGGCGACCACGAGAGCACCAGCCATGGACACAGCTGCCCCGGGAGTGTGTTACTGATGCCAGAGCTTAGTGAAGTGCTGCTGAGCAGAGGACGAGAGGCAAAGCGAGCACCATGTCACCACCAGCCTCCCCACACTCGAGCTGTGAAACCGGGGAGATCAAGACGTTGTTGCCAACAGAAGGCATCAACTGGATGTGAATGCTCCCCCAAAGCCCTGCTGCTCTCCAGCCAACCCCAGGGAGCAGGCGCTGGCCTTGCCCAGCAGCCAGCCCAACTGCTTGTGGGGATCTGGGACAAAACCAGGCACAAAACTACATTAACAGAGTCCTGCAGTGCAGCAGCAGCGCTGCGTGGGGCTCTGCCAAGTGCTCTGCAGAGGCAGCTCTTGCAAGGTCAGCCCCGTCGCAGGCTCAGCAGTACCAGCGCTGGGGACGCACCTCAGTCTGTTCTTGGAGACCAGAGCTCACCCAGAGCGAGCTGTGACCAAGTAGCAGCGTTTGTGAGAAGCTGTGGGGAGCCCACCCTGCAGTGACCAGCTCAGGCTGTGTCCGCAGTGTCCAGGAGCAGGCCCTTGGCTCTTACATTCTGTCTCTGGAGCAGGTGCTCCAAGGAGGAAGCAATTCCCAGTACTGGGGCCCCTCCTGACCCAGTGGATGGGATTCAGTGCTCTTGCGCAGGGCCTTGGGCTCTGCAGGCTCCAGAGGAGGTGGCTGCAGTGAGAAGCTGCAGGCGCAGGGGGACCCAGGTTCAGCTTTTCTGGTTCAAGAGCCAGGAGAAGAGCAGCTTCCTGGGCCGGGGCCTCCGGGCCTGGCGGCTGCGGACGGCGCGGGGCGAGCGCCATACCTTGATGGTGGTGTCATCGCTGGCCGTGAGGAGCAGCTCCTGCTCCACCGGGCTGAACGCCACCGAGTTGACCACGTTGTCGTGCTGCAGCTTGGCCAGGCAGATGTTGTAGTGCCGGTCCCAGATGTAGCCGTGGCGATCCTCTGCCCCGCTGCAGTGCACAGGACAAGGTAAGGATGTCACTGAGAGCCTGCTCCCACCCTCCCAGCCTCTGTCTGTAGCCCTGTCACCCACAGAACAGTTTGGGTTGGAAGGGACCTTCAAAACCCCTCTAGTCCAACCCACTGCCATGGGCACGGACATCTTCAACCAGATCAGGCTGCCCAAATGCATCCAACCTGGCCTGGAACATCTCTAGGAATGAGGCACCCATCACCTCTCTGGGCAACCTGTGCCAGTGTTCCACTGCCCTCACTGTGAAGAATTTCTTCCTCACACACAGCCTGAATCTCCCTCTTTCAGTCTAAAACCATCACCCCTTGTCCTATCACAACACAGCCTGCTAAAAAGTCTCTCCCCATCTTTCCTACGGGCCCACCCCATCGCACACACCTTGCTACGAAGTCCCTGCTGACATCCAGGAAGATGAAGAAGCACTCCTCATTAGGTGTGTAGGCCCGGTGCGCCCGCAGTGCTCTCTTCACCTCCTTCATGGTCTTCAGGTCGAACACGTGCAGGTCGATCTCCTCAGCGATGGGGGGAGGCTGCATGGGGTCAGAGATGACGCAGTCGCGGGGCCAGGCTCGGCTGTTCACGTACAGGTACCTGTGGGAGCAGAGGGGTGACCCTGCACCTTCCTGCATGCCACAGGGCTCGGGGAGCCCCAGCTGGAAATGTGCAGGTTGGTGGCACAGGGACCCAGCAGCTCCTCTGGCCCTTGGTGAGCCTGAGGCTCAGCTCACCAAAACCCAGGCTGAAACATGGGAACAGGCTGCTGGAAACACTCCCTGCCATGTTTGGAACTGGAAAGGTGGGTCCTGGGGGCTCTGTAATCCATTACAACCAGCTTAAAGGATTGTGTTGTATCATGAGATGCAGGTTGAGGAGGGGATTCTGCCCCTCTGCTGTGCTCTGGGGTGACTCCCCTGCAGCCCTCATCCAACTCTGGGGCAGCACAAGAGGGACGTGGAGCTGTTGGAGTGAGGCCAGAGGAGGCCATGGAGATGCTGCGAGGGCTGGAGCAGCTCTGCTCTGGAGCCAGGCTGAGAGAGCTGGGCTGGGGCAGCCTGGAGAAGAGAAGGCTCCTGAAGGGGAGACCTTAGAGCAGCTCCAGTGCCTAAAGGGGCTGCAGGAAAGCTGGAGAGGGGCTTGGGACAAGGGCCTGTAGGGACAGGCCAAGGGGAATGGCTTGAACCTGCCCGAGGGGAGACTGAGCTGAGCTCTTAGGCAGAAGCTCTTCCCTGTGAGGGTGCTGAGGCGCTGGCACAGGGTGCCCAGAGAAGCTGTGGCTGCCCCATCCCTGGCAGTGTTCAAGGCCAGGTTGGACACAGGGGCTTGGAGCAAGCTGCTCCAGTGGAAGGGGTCCCTGCCCGTGGCAGGCGTTGGAGCTGGAGGAGCTTTAAGGTCCCTTCCAACACAAACCAGGCTGTGACAGATCTGCCTTGGGAACAAGACACTTTGTGCAAGCAATTTCTTCACTCTTCCAAGCTCCCTGCTTGACCCTATCCTGACCTGGGCTCAGCAGGGCAGAGGAGGAAAGCAATCCTGCTGAGGCAGGAACACAGGGCATCAGGACAGAAATCGGATGTGAACAAGCAGAGCTGCCCATGCAGGCACCCACTACGGTCATTTCTTCTCCTGGTCACTCCCCAAAGCCCCTGAGCAGCTGCTGCCCACCCCTGCAGTGCCCGAAGCTAGCACTGAGGCCAGCACTACCACACTCACCTGTGATCAGGAGAGAGGCCCATGCCAATGATGTGCCCATGGATGTCAATGACGTGATCCAGGGAGTCAAAGAACTCATCCGAGCGCCTCTCCTCCCCGAGCACAGGCCCAGCAGTCGTCATCTGGTGGGGCAGGATCCTTTTAATCCCTTGGGGACAGAAAGCAGAATCAGGCCATTCTGTAGGCTGCTGCCCACAGACAGCAGGGCTGGTGGAGGTCCTCAGGCTTCAAGAAGGGACTTCCCTTACTGCTGCTAAGAGAAGAGAACTGGCTCACTGGTGGAGAGCCAGACCGGGGCTGCTGTCCCTGCCTGGCTCCTTCGAGCCCTCGCAAGTGATACTTTCAGGCAGGACACTGCCCAGGCACAGGTACCAGGAGGGACGTGGAGCTGTTGGAGCAAGGTCAAAGGAGGCCATGGAGATGCTGTGAGGGCTGGAGCAGCTCTGCTCTGGAGCCAGGCTGAGAGAGCTGGGCTGGGGCAGCCTGGAGAAGAGAAGGCTCCTGAAGGGGAGACCTTAGAGCAGCTCCAGTGCCTAAAGGGGCTGCAGGAAAGCTGGAGAGGGGCTTGGGACAAGGGCCTGTAGGGACAGGCCAAGGGGAATGGCTTGAACCTGCCCGAGGGGAGACTGAGCTGAGCTCTTAGGCAGAAGCTCTTCCCTGTGAGGGTGCTGAGGCGCTGGCACAGGGTGCCCAGAGAAGCTGTGGCTGCCCCATCCCTGGCAGTGTTCAAGGCCAGGTTGGACACAGGGGCTTGGAGCAAGTTGCTCCAGTGGAAGGGGTCCCTGCCCGTGGCAGGGGCTGGAACTGGATGATCTTAAAGTTGCTTCCAATTCAAACCAGGCTGGGATTCTATGATTCCACCACAGGCAGGAAGAGGCCCAGTGCCCGGCTGGCACAGACATTCATCGCTCCAAGTCCATCCTCCAGCACACTCTGAAGCAAGGCTTCCTGACTAAAGGAGACACATGTTATGGGTCAAGCTCTGTCACCTTCCATCTCTAGAGGTCCCAACGCAAACGATCCACAACAGCTTCCTGAAGGAACCCTATGAGCCTCAGCATGGGGTCACATGGGCCTCACCCTCAGGAGGTTCAAGTGGCACTGGAAGATGGCCCATCCCATCCCAATGCCCTTCTAAAGGAATCACTGTCAAACACCTTTAATTTCAGCCTCTCCCAGAGATCAACATGACTGGGGTGACACCACAATGCACCTCAAGTCCAAGGACCTTCACAGCATGCTGCATCTGAAAGTGGGCTGTCCAGGACACTCATTCTCCCACTGCTGCCACTGCTCACCAGTATTTCACTCTCATTTCCACAGCCCTGCACTCCCAGTTCCAACCTCAGCTACGTGTCCCCTCTGCACAAGCCAACAGAAGAGGCTGTGCCCATGGCTCAGACCTGCCACCAGCACAAGGGCAATGCGAGCTCCAAGGCAACTCCTGGAGAAGCACTTGTGTGCTACAGATCAGACCAGAGCACACTGCTGCCCAGCAGCTCCAGGGCAAGAGACAAGCACAACACAGAGCTCTTTAAAGCACCAGGTCCCTGGGGCAGACACCAGATGCACAAGGGCTGGTTCCACACACAAACTGATGGGTGAATATAACATCCTGCAGTGACTCATGGCTGGAGAGCAGCTGAGCCAGGGCTCGTCCCCCCAGGAGCCAGTCGGTGCTGCCAGCACTGGCCACCAGCCAGGGAGTTCCTGGAGCCAGATCAAAGGCACCAGAGCCCACAGCCCTGGGGGCTCTGCTGGAGGTCAGTGGATGCAGATATGGGGCTGGGTGCAGGGCTGAGCTGCCACCCAGCATGCAGGGCAAGGTCCATCACGTCCAGCTGAAGACCTGGTGGAGAGGAGCAAGGGCAGAGCCACACTCAGTCCCGGTCACATTCCCAACTTAGGTGTACAAAGACCAAGTGACAAAGACCAAGTGACTCAGACCAAGTGGCCTCAGCTTTGGAAACTGCCTCTCCCTGGGCTGTGCTGGTGCAGGACCAAGTAACAGGAAAGTCAGAAGAGTCTGCAGCAGCGAGGCTGTAATTGTGCAAGCAGCAAAAGGAGCTGAAACTGTCTGGCTTTATAGAAGAGTCTTCTTGTCTGGAAGCAGCTCTCCCTCCCCACTGATCTGTCTAGTCCTTTCCACTGAACCTCTCTGCTGGCTTTAGGGGCTTTCAGAGAAGCAGTGGGACTACCTGCTTCTGCTCACCACTGTACCTACTTCTCATAAATTCAGGCTCTGTGAGCCCCAGTGCCTCGACAAGAGAGCACTGGATGAGCAAGGTGACCAGCAGTGCCATTGCCTGGCATGTGCTGCAAATACAGCCCCTTGTACCGTATGGAACAGGGAGGCCGAGCACCACAAACTGCCTGGCACCAGCTTCCCATGGGAACACCCACTGGGGTAGCTGCAAAACAAACCAGGACTGCCCCAAAAGGCCATATGGTGGTGGGCTGCCACACAGTGGGCAGGGGGTGAGGCAGGCCAGGCTCAGGGAAGGAAGGGCACCATCTCCCACAGCTGAGGGGCACTGTGCAAGCAACACATGAGCTCCAAGCTGCTCAAACCAGCCCTACCCTGATGCCCTCTGCTCCCCTACAGGAGAACAGGACTGAGGCCTTCTACACACTCCCATCAGAACAATCACAACCCTTCACATCCACACACGGTGCGTGACTCATGGCTGATGTCCTGAAGTCAGAAGTTCCTTTTTGATCTTCTACTCAGCCCTCACCATGACTTTGTTGTTTGGCCACATGTCTGGTAACAACAAAACCTTCAGGCAAGCACTTGCAAGGTGGAACCCCCTTCAGTGACTGGGGGCACCTCAAAAGCCTCCTGTATGGAGAGCCCAGCAGCCTCAACAAAGCTGCAACTCACTTGCTGCAAACAGGCAGCAAAGAAACCAGGTCTTTCCCAGATTCAAATGCAGCCCATGCCCCAAGGGCAGCTGGTGTGCCCTGGGCTCAGACCTCAACCTTACCTATCTGGTGTGGGGAGTAGGTGAGGCATCCTGTGGTGAAGATTAAGTACTTTGTCTTGCTGTTGCTGTCTGTGGAGAGCAGGTTCAGCTCAGGGGGTTTAGTTCTGTTGCGTACGAACAGCTCAGCCACCTTTGTCTCAAGCTCCGTGTCGGTCATGGCAGGCCTCACCCGGCCCTCCATGATATCATCAAAGAGCTGCTGCAGCCCATCCTCTGCTGGCACACCCACGTCATCCAGCAATTCCTGTACTGCTGGCTCCGGAGCTTGCTTGGGCTTGGCCTCCTCTTCCTCGCTGTCACTGCCGAGATCAAAGACGGGGCAGGTGGAGGTGGAGGCAGCGAGCTGCTCCTCGTAGTCCAGGAGCAGGTCTGGCGAATCGTAGCGGCTGCAGTCGGCCACCATCACCGTCCGGATGGTGCTGGCATTCAGGTTCTGGATTTTGAACAGTCTCTTCACTACATTCACATTCTCGGACTCTATCCCCTGCAAGCAGAAGATAAAAGTAAGCAGGAACCGTCTCACATCCCTCCTGCAGCTCAAACCAAGAGCCACCTGCTGAGCCTGTGAGTTGGCACAGCAACACCAGCCACACACCGACCTCTCTTTGCACTGCTACATGGAGCAGGGATCATGAGAACTGGACCCCAAGGCTGGCCAGCTCTGTGGCACTTCTTCCTATCCTGGAGGTGGGCACACTGAGACACAAAACTCCTGCAGGCTGAGCTGGGAAACACAGAGGCTGAGCAGCCTTGCTGCCACCTGCAGCTGAGGCTATCAGCTGGTGCTGCTTGAGGTGTTAGAAGAATTCCAGGACAGGCCTCTAACATACACACAAGTGCAGCACAAAGTACCATTCTCTGGCCTACAAGCAGCAGAGGCAGGGAACCTACATACTCTGCAGTTCACCTGTGCAGAATCACCCTGGTTATCTGCTCTCAGGTACAAGCAGCAGGTCTTTTCCTGCCCAATTGCCCTGGCAGTCTGCAGCTGCGCTTCAACACCCCTGGACAATGTGGCCAAGGTGCCTCCTCACTTCATGGGGATGGAAGAGTTAGTGCTGTAGTACCAGAGCAAAACAGAGATGTGGTTATGGGAAGGATCTCTGCTACCAGAGGATTTCACTTGGGGCCAGCATCAACCGTTCATGTTAACAACCACAAACAGTGAGATAAGCAGCTGTGACACTGAGACAGAGGCAAAACATGGAAGAAGAACATGCCTGAGCAGGAAAAATGCCAGAGACTGGACAAGCAGCAAACAAGCAGCATAAGGGCAGCTCACACTGATCTCCAGGTTTCATTTCAGCACCTGGCCCGCAGAACTGTAAGCAAGGACAGGCAGGGCTGAGCTCAGGCTCTCAGCTGCCTCTGGCTCCCAGAAATACCACACTGAGCTGCCAAGTAGGAGAATGGCCACTGATCGGGTACATGCCAGGCTCCAGCTGTCCCAGGCCCAGCTTCATGTTAGCAAGGACCTCAGCAACCCTTCTGTGCTCCAGCCACTCTCCTCTTGAGCAACACATCTTCTAAGGCACTGCAGTCAAGTTCTCATTCCAATTAATGGGGTAAGAGTTAATGGAATGTGAAAGTAGAGTTAGAATATTGTAATGGGTACCACAACACCAAGTGTGGAGAAGCCTCACACAAGGGTTGCCTTAAGCTCAGGATCCTGAGGGCAACTCAAGAGAAGACAAACAGGGAGTACAGGAGGATTGGGCAATTCCTTCCCACTCACACCTCCTCTGCAGCATTTCCTCCCCCAGGAGCCAGCAGGAAGCTGTGCTGCCCGTGGAGCTGGAACAAAGGCACCTCACCTGGAAAGCGTTGTTCAGCCACAGCACAGAGCAGGAGGTTATACGCCCAATTCGGTGCAGATTGCCAGATATCAGGTTGGTTTCATTCAACCAGCAGCCAAACACATCGTAGGGCTTATTCCTCACCCTGGAAAGCAGCGTGAAGTTCTCTGCAAGGGAGGGGAAACGTGAGCATGAGGAGATGGCTCTTGGCCCTAGAGAGACCAAGGCAGAAGACATGGCAGATGGATTCAAGTCTCCCCATGAAAGGCTCTGATGCAGCACCTCCAATGCCAGCTGAGCAGATGCTGCCCAACCACCATCCAGCTTCCAGTCAATCTATGAAGATAGGTATTTCTCTCTCCCACAGCAATGTGTGAGGCGAGCAAGCACAAGGGAAAACAAAGTAAAAGGGCAGCCAGAGGAAAGAGCAATTTAATCTCAGAGCCCTTCTCCAAGCATGGCTCAAAGCAGACACCCCAAGGACAAGTCAAACACGTACAGAACATCTTCACTCCCACCCCTGGGGCTCAGGGCCTTTCTGAGCCAGACATACGTGCATTCAGGAGCACCCCTCGATTTCTGGCACACTGAGGTGGTGAGAGACAACAGAGCTGGGATTTGGGAGCTTCACAGAACTGCAGCAGAAGAGATGAAGCAAACCCAGATGAATGAGCCTCAGAAAGCCCAGGGTGAGACTAGCACCACTTGAGCCAGAAATGGTGGTTCAAAGCCAACAGGTAACATGGGTAACTCTTGCCTTGCCCAGACTGTCACTTAGAGCTGAAGTGAGAATAAACATATGCCACACTGCTCTTAGGTGATGATGTGGTCACACCATGTCAGAGCTGAGGCTATTCATAAGGTTTACCCTATGAAACTGTGATTTGGAACCCTCTGCACAGATGGTAGAAAGCAGGACAAGCAGAGGTCAAGGCCACTGCACACCACAAGGGAACCCCAGCACCCACCACTTCAGCCCTCCCAGGCACCCCAGTGAAGGAGGGGGTGACATTTACCCATGCTGATTACAGCAATCTCTCCTGAGGAGGAATTGTGAGGCCCCACAAAGACACCAGACACCAGGAGGAGCGAGTCGTCAGAATTGAACTGGGAGAACTGTGTGTAGCTCCAGTTGTACGGCCTCATGTTGGAGCTGTGCTGCAGGGAGATGTCCAGCTCATTGCTCCAGATCTATAAACAGATGGACAAACAGTCAGGAAGCTGCTGAGAAGCCCGAGTGTGGCTCCACTTTATCTGTTCTGCCAGCACTCAGCAGGCCAAGAAAAAAGCCACCATTAAAGACCCCATTTAACTGCCTCCTGGTCCTGACTTCCCTGCCCATTCCCCTGACAGAAAATGGTCAGCAGCTCTGGAGAGAGCTCAGCACAGGACTGCTCCCCCAGCCAGTGCAGTGAATGGCACTGTCACAACTGGATTTTTCAGCACGTTCAGGGGAATTTCTACCAAGACAACCCCTCAAGCAAGACATCTGCAGTGGATCATTATCTCTGCATTCTTTGTGAGACCCGCAACACAACAGGGGACTGATTTTCACCTAGGAAGCAGGTCGAGCCAGGTAGGCGCCTTGGCCACCACCTTCACATGGGCCAGAGCTGGAATCCACAGCCCTCAAGGCTACATTTGCAAGAGCCATTAGTTCTGTGGTTTGGAGAACTCAGCATTGCAGGGACCAGCCTAAGTCCAGGGACACATGGTCAAACCTCTCCACCGACTTCCTAAAGGCTGCTCCTGTGGCTGAGGCTCACTAAATCAAAGCTGGAAGGGTTGTGCAGAGGAGGCTGACACTTTACCTTGACAGTACAGTCTTTGGAGCATGACGCAAACAAACAGCCAGAATGGGAAAAGCTGAGGTGCAAAACCTGGTCATTGTGCTCCTTCAGGGCCTGCACTTCCACACAGGGAATGGTATCGTAGAGCCTCTGGAACTCATCATACCAGGAGACAGCAGCTGTAACACATGAGCAGGAATATGGCACGGGAATGAAAGTGGAGGGAAGCAACACGGCATTCACAGTCCTGACTGAGACTTGCAGCCCTGAACCCCCCCGTGTACTGAGTGTGCCCCCAGAGCGTGAGCAGCAGCTCAGGGAGGGGATCCTGCCCCTCTGCTGTGCTCTGGGGAGACCCCCCCCTGCAGCCCTGATCCAGCTCTGGGGCAGCAGCACAAGAGGGATGTGGAGCTGTTGAAGCAAGGCCAGAGGGGGCCATGGAGATGCTGCGAGGGCTGGAGCAGCTCTGCTCTGGAGCCAGGCTGAGAGAGCTGGGCTGGGGCAGCCTGGAGAAGAGAAGGCTCCTGAAGGGGAGACCTTAGAGCAGCTCCAGTGCCTAAAGGGGCTGCAGGAAAGCTGGAGAGGGGCTTGGGACAAGGGCCTGTAGGGACAGGCCAAGGGGAATGGCTTGAACCTGCCCGAGGGGAGACTGAGCTGAGCTCTTAGGCAGAAGCTCTTCCCTGTGAGGGTGCTGAGGCGCTGGCACAGGGTGCCCCATCCCTGGCAGTGTTCAAGGCCAGGTTGGACACAGGGGCTTGGAGCAAGCTGCTCCAGTGGAAGGGGTCCCTGCCTACTCTGCTGATGGGGCAGCATCATTCCCACAGCTCCAGCCAAGTTCACAAGGGGCTCAAACAGCTTTCTCTGCAGCTTTCCCACTCCCCCCCACACACACACAAAAGAAAACAGTTTCTTGCAGTGAACAGACACCTCTGCACCTTGTCACTTCTCTACCAACCCCTACAGCCTCTGCAAGAAACACCCAGAGCAGAGCTATGGAACAAAATCCTTGCTCAGACACAACAGCATCAGAGCTGCAGATGTGCTCCAGCACAGTGCAAACAAATCCATCGCGTGATAAGAGAGAAGCCCAGTACCTCAGGGTACTGGGCTCCACTCTGCTTATCTTTATCTTGTCTAACACAGAGTTAAGAAGGTTCCAGAAAGGGTATGGGACCAGAATGCATCATCTCCATAACACAGATTAGAGAAAAAAGAGGAAGAGGAGGAGCTGGACCCAGGCTGCCAGGACAGAGCAGGAGCCCTGCAGCAAAACCTGGAGCACGCTCACAGAAGTAACACGACAGCCAATAAAGGACAAATAAAGAGGACTTTTAACCAAGTGCCCCGTAAGGCAGCCTAGAGACCTCTTGCAGCAGCAAATCCCAAGGAAGCAAAGAGGATTAGACATGTACATGGATAAGGGCCAACTTTCCTGGTTACACTGAGCAGGACTGAGGGATTTTGGAACTCGCTGCAGCTCAGGAGGCACCTGCTGCTGCAGGCAGGGAGCTGCTCGCTGCCAGGACACCCTCCACTGCTCACTAACCTCTGAAGCTCTTAGTCCCAGCCCATCTGGCTGCAAAGCAGCCTGGACAGACCCCATCCGGCCAAGCAACCCCAACATTCCCTCTCACAAGGCCCAGTGGATACCACAGAGCTACCTAGGGCAGGCAGACTGGCAGGGCTTTTCCCCAGGCTCCTGCTTCAGCCCATGCCTGGGCCTGGCAGGCACCCCCTGCCCCATGGGGCCTCTCACAACTCCAGAAGCACAGCCCGGGAAGTGTCCAAATACGTTACTGAGATCCACCAGCTGCTCAATCCCAGTGAGTGCTGAAGAAAAAAGCTAGCAGATTCCCAGCTCTCTCCAGGAGGCTGGAAGTGAATGAGCCTGGCCAAGGAGCCTCAGGTAAAACCTAAAGGAATGTCCCCAGCTCCATGGAGTTCCCAGGGTCTGCAGAAGTGAAGTCACGAAGCCACATCTGACAGCCCTCCTGTCTTCATGTTCCCTGCTGCAGGGAGATGGGCTCTTGCTGCTTGATCCTTGGTGTTTCCTCCTGTAGCAACTGCAACTCAAAATCAAGAACTCAACTCCCCCTGCCTTGGCCACTGCCGGGGGCCCCATGAGCACCCTTGGGGCTGAGGACAGAACACATCTCTCCCAGACCTCCACAGCAGGCTGGGAATGTGCTTTCTGGACTCCACGAGAGACCCACGGAGTGTGGCAGCAAGGGCTCCTGTTGGCAGGTCCCCAAAGCCTGTCTGCTAGTGTGACAGCACTGGGTTACCCTTCCAGACTGCACAAACTGCTCCCAGCTCCTGACACTCAACTGGGAACTGACCCATGATCGTGTGCTGGTCACCACCGACTGCGACAGCTCTACCCAAGGAAGGCCTTACCAGGCTCAGATGATGCCGACTGTTAATGGGTCATTTTCCTACTGGGAGCTGAGGCCAAGATCAAGATCAAGTCCAACCTGCCCTTGCAAAGTGGGTCAGCTGCTGCCTTAGCACTTGCTGTACAATTAAGGGCCACGCACCCACCTCCCTCCTCACGGAGCAGGCACAACTCTGCCTTCAGCACCTGCGCCTTATGGAAATAGTCTGTGCTAATGTGCACTTGCAGCTCTTCCTGGTCTGAATGAGAGGGGCAGAGCCTGGAGCAGGGCCTTGGTGTCAGGTCCTACTCAGGAAAAGCCAGCAGCGCTTATCACCGAGCCCAGCCGGGCTGTACTGGGGCTGCACGCCCTGACTCACTGCAGCTCCTGCCATCTCCCTCAGCAGCACCCAGCCAAGCTGTGCAGCAGCTACCACAGAGCTCCTGCCTCGAGAGCACTCAGAAACCACCTTGCTGGGAAAGGAAAGCTGAGGCATTTTCAACCATCCGACTCCCTTTTCTGAAGGGTTTGGGCACTTCCACAGCCCTTCACGTGCACATCAGCACTCAGCCCTATAGACTGCTAACGTGACACAGTCCAGGGGCTCGTCACCCACAGCACCAAAGGACAACGGGTTGAGCAGCAGAGAGGGACAGAACTTTCCCCTCCTGGCTCATGATGGGAGTTCAGGCTCCCATCACACGGGTACCACACCCCGCAGAGACACCGGAGGCCCCGGCGCCGGGCAGCTCCCGGCAGCTCCAAGGAGGGCAGCCCCACCAGCCCTGTCCCCCCGCGGCCGCGCACCTGGGTGCCGGGGCACCTCCCGGGAGATGCGGTAGTAGCGGTAGAAGAGTTCCTTCCACAGGAACTCGTCCCGGGCCACGGCGTGCCACTGCTGGCAGACCAGCCCCACCGAGAGCACGTCTACGTGGTCCAGGTAGAGGAAGATCTCGTAGAGGACGCTGTCGGGGAGGAGAGGGCCGCCGCCCGCGTCCATCGTGGCATTCTGCCGCCGCGCCTGCGAACGAACGGGCGTGAGACCCTGCCCGGCCGCAGCCCCGCACCGGGCACCCCCGGGCTCCCTCCCACACCTCAGCGGCTCCGGCGGCTCCTCTGGCCCCGCCCACCCCGCTCAGCGCTTCCGCCGCTCCGCCCCGCCCTTCCGCCCCGCCCCTCCAATCACCGCTCCGCTTTCTGCCGACAGACCGGAGAGATCGAGCGCAGAGCCCCCAACCGAGCGCTAGGCACCGCTAGCCGAACGTGGCGCGCTCGCTCCCGATCGCCCGCCCCTACGGCGATCAGACCCCACCCTCCCCGCAGGCCACGCCCCTTATGCAGACCACGCCCCCTGGTCGTCCCCGCCCCATCCTATTAGACCCCGACCCATCACATCAGGCCCCCCCACTCTAGGGGGTCCGGGTCCCGATGTCGCCGGGGTCGCGCCGGAGATTTCGCTCCATCCAACCCCAGCGGCACAGCCCGTCCCCGTCCCCGTCCCGGCTCCGTCCGTCCCGCACACCCCCAGCCCCTGCCCGCAGCCCCGCGGGCCCGGCTCCAGCTCCCGGCTTCCCGCTGTGCCCTCCTGCCCCCGTCGCTCTCCTGCTCCCCTCCCGGTCCCGCACCGCTCACCCAGCACCATGCTGTCCCGGGCCGCGCTCCTGCTCCTCGCCCTGCTCCTCGCCGCCCCGCCGGGGCTGGGGCAGAGCGCGGGGCGGCGGCAGCGGCCGCCCCCTCCCCAGAGCCTGCTGGAGAAGGTAGCGGCCCCGGCGGAGCTCAGGCTGCCCGAGGTGAGGGGCTGGGCCAGGGGCTCGGCAGCTCTGGGGCTGGGGCTCAGCCCGTTCCCCTGTGGGTCCCCTTCGAGATCCAGCCCTGCAGCATCACCCTCCAGACCTGCCCTTGCAGCCTGAGCCTCGGCTGAGCCCCCCGGTGCTCTCCCAACCCCGAGACAGGAGCCGCAGGAGCCCTGCTCGGCCCTGAGCTTTGCCCTGGAGGCAGGCCCTGGCCCGGCGGCTGCTGCTCCGCCAGACCCCAGCTCCTCAGCCCCGGGGCCAGTGCAGCCATTGCCGGTGCTGGGTCTGGCAGCGCTCGGTGCCCCTCGAGCACACACACACACACAGAGCAGCCTGTCCCCACTCCGGGCTCTGCTCTGCTTCCTGCTCTTTCCCACCCTTCAGCTCCTGTCCCCGTGGGCAGCACAGGGGAGGGTGCTTGGGGTGGTGGGTGCTGAGGGCAGTGGGGTGGTGACACGAGGGCACGGTGCCAGCCGGTCCCATGCAGCTCGCAGGGAGGTGGTTCCTGGTTGGCATGGCCTCCCGCTGCGGGTTCCTGGCCGAGCACAGCCACCGGCTGGAGGCCACAGCGGTGACGGTGACCACTGGTGACGGGCAGAGCCTGGACATCAGCACCTTCAGGAAGCTGTGAGTGAAACTGGGCACCGGGGCTGCAGGCAGGGGCTGGGATGGGGATGCTGGATGGGACAGGGGCACTGCAGGCAGGTCAGAGCAGGACCAGTGCCCTAGGATGGGGATGGGACAGGGACACTGCAGGCAGGTCAGAGCAGGACCAGTGCCCTAGGATGGGGATGGGACAGGGACACTGCAGGCAGGTCAGAGCAGGACCAGTGCCCTAGGATGGGGATGGGACAGGGACACTGCAGGCAGGTCAGAGCAGGACCAGTGCTCTAGGATGGGGATGGGACAGGGACACTGCAGGCAAGTCAGAGCAGGACCAGTGCTCTAGGGTGCGGATGGGACAGGGACACTGCAGGCAGGTAGAGCAGGACCAGTGCCCTAGGATGGGGATGGGACAGGGACACTGCAGGCAGGTCAGAGCAGGACCAGTGCTCTAGGATGGGGATGGGACAGGGACACTGCAGGCAGGTCAGAGCAGGACCAGTGCCCTAGGATGCGGATGGGACAGGGACACTGCAGGCAGGTCAGAGCAGGACCAGTGCCCTAGGATGGGGATGGGACAGGGACACTGCAGGCAGGTCAGAGCAGGACCAGTGCCCTAGGATGCAGATGGGACAGGGACACTGCAGGCAGGTCAGAGTAGGACCAGTGCTCTAGGATGCGGATGGGACAGGGACACTGCAGGCAGGTCAGAGCAGGACCAGTGCTCTAGGATGGGGATGGGACAGGGACACTGCAGGCAGGTCAGAGCAGGACCAGTGCTCTAGGATGCGGATGGGACAGGGACACTGCAGGCAGGTCAGAGCAGGACCAGTGCCTCAGTCACAGGCTCCAAGGAGGAGAGAGCTGGCCCAGAGCAAAGTGATCTCCTGTGGGATGCTCTGTGCTAGAAGCCGGGGCCATGGTGGGCTGGAACCCAGCCACCAGCACGGGGTGGACTTGGGCTCCCCAGCCTGGGTTGCGTGGGGGTGGCCAGGCTGGGGAAACTGAGGCTCTGGGACAAGAAACCAGGGAGAGTGTGTGCGTGGCAAGGAGGGTGGGCAGGGGTCTGGGCTGGATCCTCCCCAACCTGTGCCAACAACCTCCTCCTCTCCCCGAACAGGGATGGGATGTGCTGGGAGATCAGGCAGCGCTACCTCCCTGCCCAGGCGCATGGACACTTCATCCTGAAGGGTGAGGGAGGCTGGGCTGGGGGGGGGGGAGCAGGGACCATGGAGCTGGAGCCCCCACTCCTGCTTTCAGCAGCAGTTTGGGACTGGCATCTGTCCTTCCAGTGTCTCAGCTCTATGATCTCAGAGTGTCCCAGTTCCGGGTCCACCACAGGCAGCACCATGGGCTTGTGCCTACTCATAGGAAACAGCATCCTATGGGGCTGGCCTCCATTTTCACCCCTTGTACACCTCACCTGTGGTGAAACAAGGCCCCTGGATGGTGCTGGGGCTAACTGGGACTAACTGGGACTAAGCAGGGCTGTTTCCTGTTTTTCCCAGGCCGTGGCCATGGCAGCAAGGTGGACGTGGTGGTGGGGGAGACAGACCACAGCAGCTACGCCATCCTCTATTACCAGAAGGGCCGGAGCATCTCGGTCAAACTCTATGGTGGGTCAGTGTTCTGGGGCGTGTGGCACATGGACAGGGTTGGCAGAAAGGTGGGAAACCCAGGCTGGGACCAGGAGCTGCCTGCGGGAGCCCTGGAGCACCCAGACACAGGAATGGGTGTCCCATGGGGTCCTGGTCCCAGATGGGGAGTTGTCCCCAGATGATGCTGGAAGGGAGACAGGGGGGAACCAATAACGCTTCTGTGGTCCCAAGCCTTGCCACAGGGGCAGGGTGGGCTTTGGGGCAGGGACAGGCAGGGCTCGAGGTCACTGATGGCATCTCCTTGTGTAGGACGGAGCAGCCAGGTCAGCGATGCTGTCATAGACAAGTTTGAGCAGCGTTTGAGGGCTGTGGGCCTGAGCGAAGACGTGACCTACTACTTCCCTGTGTACGGTGGGTGGCACATAGTCCCCTGGGACCTGGGAGCACCAACATGCAGAGACCAGCGCCAGGGGCTGGGGTGCACTGTTGGGAGGGGAGGCTCATCCACATAGGTCTGAAGAGCTTGTGGCCCCATATCACCCACATCAGGGCCACAGCTGGGACCTGTCCCAGTGCCAGAGGTGCAGGGACTGGGCTGTGCCCCGCTGTGTCTCTGGGTGCAGGGCTGGGGCCAGGCAAGGTGACTCCCTGGGCCGTGTCTCTTGCAGGGTTTTGTGACTCCACAGATGAATTTCACATCCTTGATGGTGAGTTGTGGGGTCTGGGCGATGCTGCTGGGTCCCCCCATGGGCCAGGCCTGGCCCCACATAGGGCAGCACATCGGTTCTCCTGCCCTGGCTGGGAGCTGGGCACAGAGGGTTCAGACCCTCACCACACCTGTGTGGTCCTGCTGGGGGACCCCAGGACAGGCAAGGAGGTGGCAGACCAGCTGCCAAGATGGGCATCAGGTGCATGCTGGCAAAACAAAGTCCCGTTCACCCCCCACATGGGTCAGTGCAGGTTTAGTGGGGTTTTAGTGGTGTTTCCAGGGGTGAGGGTTGGTCTGGGACAGGGATACCCCAGGGTGAGGGCTGGGGTCCCCAAGGAAAGCTCCATCAGTTGTCGCTGGTGCTTGGGGAAGTAGAAGTGGGTCTCCAGCCCTAGTGCTGGGCTTGGCCATCTCCCTAGCCCCCCAGCACTTCCCTTTCCCTTCCAGAAACAAAGCCGTAGGTGCAGATGGTGTTGCCAGGAGGTCCCCAGTGCTCAGCCTTCCCCTCTTCCAGCTGCCCATGGCCACGCAGGACTGAGCTCAGGCTTGGTCAGACCCTGCTGCTGCTCCAACAGCCCTGGAGCCAGTCCTGGGGTTCCCCATCTCCTCCAGCGACATTTGGCAGCCATGTGGGTCCTTGTCCTGCCCCCCCCCCCAGCTTTGTGTCACGCTGTGCTCGCACCCTTGTGCCTGCAGCAGCAATGACACCCCAGTAAACGCCTCTGAGAAGAGTCTGTGTCCAGGCAAGTCACCCCTTGGTGTGCCCCAGCAACACGATGGCTGCCTCCGCTGTGGGGCTGCCAATGCTCCCAGTTGGGACGTGTGGGCAGAGGGATCCACGCAGCCCCATCCATGCAGCCCCATCCCAACCATGGGACAGCGAGGAGGAATCGTGGCAGTTCCCGTGCCGGTGCCGTCGGGCTGGGGGTGCTGGAGACCGGCACAGGATCAACCTTCCCCTGGGACAAGCCAGGAGATGCCTCAGGCACTCCAGAGGAGGGATCCTGCTTCTCATCCCCAAGCCTGGGCAGTGAAACGCTGTATTCATTCCCTGCCCTAGCGCTGCGGACCGTGTTCGCTGTAGAGCTGCTGCCTGCATCAGACCCTGCCTGGGAGCGCTTCCTAGCGCCTGCCCGCACTGCCTGCACCCCCGCACCCCTCTCCCGAGCCGGCCAGGGGTGTCCTTTGCACGCTCAGAGCCGGCTGCGGGGGCTTGGATTAGGTGTGCAACCAGGGCAGAGGAGCCCTTACAGGACCCATCTGCCCCGTGTGTTGAGTCCGACCAAGACTGTCCTGACACATGCTTGGGTTGGGGTGTTTTGGTGAGGGTTCCCCAGTGTAGGCAGGGGATGTAGAGCAGCCCCGGCACGGGCCGGGCGGTGGCAGAGGATGGGATGGGACGGGACGGGACGGGACGGGACGGGACGGGACGGGGGATGGATGGGGCCGGGCAGTGCCGGTCACGCTGCAGCCCAGGGGCCGGGGTTTCGCAACCGCAGTGGTACCGGTAACACGTGTTGTTTATCAAGGGTTTATGTAAGGCTCCACACGTGACTCGCCCCACGCCAGCCCCCGGCCCACGTGCGGGGCAGCCGTGCCCATGACCCCCCCACCGGCCGAGCCCGGCAGAGCAGGGGCTGCAGGGATGGGTCAGGCTCTGCTCTGCATCCCACAAGCGGCTGCAATGGGAGGTGGGGGGAGCTGGCCTGGACCCCAGGACCACCCCCTGCACTCATCTGGATGAACCCCATTCTGCGGTGCCAACCCCTAGGTTTTGCCTGAGAGTTTGTACCCAGGCACTGCGGTGATCCCTCAGTCCTGGCTCACGACAGTGCCCCCCTGTGACCCCATGGTCCCGAGCTCTCACCCAGCTTTGCCACCCAGCTCCTTGGCCAGCCTTAGCTTTACCAGCCCTGGGAGATGTCTGGAAAGGAGGCTGGAGACCCCCAGGCTCTGGGGGGCTTTGTGTACACAGGGCTACAGTGCACCCATGGGTGCTCCATGCCTCTGGTGCACAATGGAGAGAGCCCCTCCTGGCACTCTGCACTCCGAGGGGGAGCTAGGGCAGGGGCTGAGCCCCCAGCCCAGCGTGTGAGGAGGCCCCAGCCGGGCTTTCGTGATGCTCAGTCCTGCCTGGCTCAGCTTTTGTTTTGTTTTAATAAATCCATGGAGCCGGGGCTGAGCTGGGCGCAGCTGGGTGCGGGGAAGGGAATGTGCTGGGACAGGGGGGCCTGCCCGCGTGGAACAGCCGCTGTGAAAACACAACATGCTCCTTATGTAAAGCTTTGCCTTGGCAGGGCTGAGCCAAGGGCTGAGGCTCGTCCCAGCATGGCCAGCCCTGCCCAGACTGTGCCAGAGCCATGGCAGCTGCTGAAACCTGTGCTCATCCCCAGCCCTTGCCCTACAGGCACTCAGGGTGTCCCCTCATTAAGAGGGGGGACAGTTCAGTGTCTGCTGGTGGTGCAAAACCGAGGGGGAGGATATCTAACAGCCTCTCTTGGGTGGCACAGCTGGGCTGAAGCATTGCTGGTCCCTTGCTGTGTGCTGGTCCCCAGGGGGCTGAGCACCGGCTCCCCACAGCACCCCAAGCTCACCATCGACATGCACTGGGGTTGCACATTGGTGGGTTGAACCCTGATGGGGCTGAGATGCTTCCATGGATGATGCAGGGACCTGGGGCAGGGCAAGGTGGGGGATCCTGGAGAAGCACCCGGAGGTGTCGAGTTCCAAAGGTTGAGTTGAGCTTTTGACGTTCCCACCACCTCGCTCGGACCTTGCTCGGGCCCCGCTCTGTGTGAAGCCACGCTGCAGCGGTGGGGCAGCCAGCAAGCCCTGGCCCCGGCCCTGCCCGCACCGGCTGCAGCGCATGGCATGTGGTGCTGCTGCGGGGCAGCTCGGCACCCCCAGGCAGACATGGCATCCCACCAGGAGAGGAATAATCGCAGGGTCCCTGCTTGCCCTTTGGCTTCAGCTCTCGGCCCCGCTCCCGCTTGCATAACGCACAGGGGGAGGCAGGGCTGGTCCCCCTGGGGCCCCCGCGCAGCCAGGCCATAAATAGGGGCTCTGCGGCAGCTCTGCCGCTCCTCTCGCTCGGCCCGGCCCGGCTCCGCTCGGCTCGGCTCGGCTCCGCCCGGCTCCGTTCGGTTCGGCTCCGCTCGGCTTTGCTCGGCCCGGCCCGGTCCTGCCCTGCCGGCAGCAGCCATGCACACTGCGCTGCTCGGCCTCCTGGGGCTGGCGCTGCTCGGGGCTCTGCGCGCCCAGGACACCATCCCCGTGCAGACCGGCTTCCAGCAGGAGAAGGTGACCCCGCGTCACTCTGGGTGATGGGGGTTTGGGGAGTCTGGGGGGGGAAAGGATCCCTGCCCTGGGAACGTGTGCAGGGGGTGTTGCAGGTGGATGTGGGGCCAAGGTGGCCCCAGCACTGGCACAGGCAGGGTGGCTGTGTGTGGGGTGCACACGCAGCCGCCATCCCTGAGGAGCCCCCGTCCTTGCAAAGCCCCTGCTCCCTGGGGGATGCAGGATCCAGGGCTGGATATGTGTGGGGCTGGGACACCTGCAGTGTGGAGTGGGTGCGGGTACACAGGGATGCTACAGGGGGGCTGAGAAAAACAATCTTAGTTTGAGGTAGCCCGTGGGGATGGGCCATGGACCCCCATCCCCATGCAGACCCCATTTTCCCAGCCCAGTGTCCCAGCAGACCAAGGGCTGGGGTGTTCCACACACCCTCTGCCCTCCCACCCCTCGGTGCTGGCATGCTCAGGGTGCTTGCAGTAACCCCCCAGACAGGCAGCATCCAGAGCAGGACAGACCCAGCCTGGCTGTACATTGGAGGCGCCCAGCCCCACAGCCCCTGGAGCCATCCAGGGAGGTGCTGGGGATGGAGGCACGTCCTGCAGGGATGGGGGTCCTGCAAGGGTGGTCCCAACACCGCCTACCTCCAAGGCTGACGGTGCCCCTCTGAGTGCACCAAGCTGGTACCTGCAGGGACCAGGCTGGGATGAGCTGTGCTGGCCCCGGGGTCCTGACCCCTCCTTGGGCCTCCAGATGTATTGAAATGGCATTTTGGAGCCAGGCAATGCTGTCACCCCCTCCCTGGCTTGGGGTGAAGAGGGAGGAAACACCGCAAGTGCCAGGCACATCCTACACCAGGGGTCTCCTGGCTGGTGGGTTTCGTGGACCAGGAGCTGGAGCAGCTCCATGGGGACAAGGACCCTGGGACCCCATCCTGCAGTGGGGCCAGTAGGGGAGGGGGAGGTGGCCTGGGCTGGTGGCCAAGGGGCAAGATGGGGTCTGTGTGCAGCCGGTGGCTGAGCAGAGGTTGTGTGCAGCTCACAGGGAAGTGGTTCAGCATCGGCCTGGCCTCCAACTCTAGCTGGTTCAAGGAGAAGAAGCACCTGATGAAGATGTGCACCACGGTCATCTCTGAGACCGCAGATGGGAGCCTGGAAGTCAACTCCACCTACCCCAAGTATGGGCATGGGTAGGGGCTGGGGGTGGGCAATGCTGCCATGCCTGTGGCTACGTGTGGGCTGGAGCATCCCCCCAGCCCCTCGTGTTGTACTCCCCAGGGGTGACCAGTGTGAGAAGAGGAACAGCCTTTACACTAGGACAGAGCAGCCGGGGCGGTTCAGCTACACCAGCCCACGTGAGTGCCCAGCTCCCTGCCCAGTGCTGCTGGGACCTACTCCTGGCCTCGCCGGAGCACCCCAATGCTGAGCTGGGCCCTCCCTGTCCCCCCAGGCTGGGGCAGCAAGCATAACATCCATGTGGTGGAGACCAACTATGAGGAGTACGCCCTGCTGGCCACCCAGATCTCCAAGAGCACCGGCCCCTCCACCATGGTGCTGCTCTACAGTACGTGTGCCCTGGGACCCCTGTGCCACCCGCCCCCCAGCAGCCCCAGGATGTGCTCACTGGGGGATCCCTCCCATGGGAGAAGGGCAGCAGCATCTCCCAAGCTGGGGTGACCCATGGGGTGTCCGGATTGGGCCCCCCTGCCTGCTTGTCCCTTGCTGGGCTGCACTGCAGCAGCGCTCAGGGGTGCAGGGGGGGCTGCCTCTCACCCTGCTGTTGGCTGCAGGCCGCACAAAGGAGCTCGGTCCTGAGCGCCTGGAGAGGTTCACCCAGTTCTCCAAGGAGCAGGGCCTGACGGACGAGGAGATCCTCATCCTGCCCAGCACGGGTGAGTGCAGGCAGGGAGCAAGGCTGGGGGTGCAGGGGGGTGCTGTGGAGCAGGGAAGAGGTACCCTGGGGGTCTGAGAGGGAGGAGACCCTCCTGGCTTGTCCCTGCCTCCCTGAGGGACCAGTGTGGGCCTGGCTATGGGGGTGTCTCCATGGGGGTCTCTCAGGAGTCCCCCAGCCCATGAAGGAGCTGATCTCTGGTTTTGTTCCTCCTGCAGACAAATGCATGGCAGATGCTGCCTAGGTGAGTCCTGGGGTCAGAGCAGCCCTGCAGGGGGGTATGGGTGTACTTGGAGATGCTCCACCCCATCACCCTCCCCTCTCCAGCCTGCTTCTCTTACTGCTACCACAGATCATAAAATCATAGAACCCCAGCCTGGTTTGGGTTGGAAAGGACCTTAAAGCTCACTCAGCTCCAACCCCTGCCACAAGCAGGGACCCCTTCCACTGGAGCAGCTTGCTCCAAGCCCCTGTGTCCAACCTGGCCTTGAACACTGCCAGGGATGGGGCAGCCACAGCTTCTCTGGGCACCCTGTGCCAGCGCCTCAGCACCCTCACAGGGAAGAGCTTCTGCCTTAGATCCCACCAGAAGTTCCCCTATTTCAGTTTGAACCCATCACCCCTTGTTCCATCACCACAGTCCCTGATAAAGAGCCCCTCTCCAGCATCCTTGTAGCCCCTTTAGGCACTAGGAGCTGCTCTGAGGTCTCCACACAGCTTCTCTTCTCCAGGCTGAACAGACCCAACTTTCTCAGCCTATCTCTATGCAGGAGGTGCTCCAGCCCCTGATCATGCCCCACTCTGTCCCATGGCTGGTTCTTTGGTGTCCCTGGGTAGTGGGTGCCCATATACTCAGCATGGGGCTGGCCGGGCTGATGTCCCCCTGTGTGTCCCTGTCTCACCCCCATCTCTTTCAGACAGACCCACCAGCTGCCGCCGGCTGGAGCCTTGAGAGCACCATGAGCTGGTGGCTGCCTCGTTCCCCCCGCCATGCCCAGGACCCCCCAACACTGCAGCAGCCCCCTCTCCCTGGCTTCACACCCACACCTGTACCCCCACCCCATTAAAGCCTGTATAAAACCAGCCTCCCCCCCTCATCTGCCTGGTCATCCTGACAGGAGCCGCAGTGGGGTAATGGGGAGGAGGTGTTTGCTGTGAGCTCTGGATGTGGCTCAGTCCCGACCACCCCATGGTGTCCCTGCCATGAGCCTGGACTCGCCTGTGCCTGCTGCCCGGCAGCCTGGGAAGCCACAAGCCCTTCTGGGGGACACTGGGCTGTGGCTCAGCCCTGGGCTCAAACCCTCCTTGTTGAGATGGGACCGGTGCTGGCACTGCCAGGCCCTTGGGCCAGCGGGCATCAGCCAAGAGGAGAGCACTGGAGGCACCCCTGTCCCCCTCCCCAAACACAGCTCTGAGGCATCACCCACTCCCCCACTGCTGGGTCGTGCACAAAGCTGCATTCATCCAGGACTGGACAATGGGGGGAAAGGGGCCAGCGCTGTCACCCAACACGGGTACAAGCGATCCCTGCTCTTGTGTAACCTGTTGCATAAGGGGGGCGGGAGGGTGCTGCCAGCGGTGGGGGTATAAAGGTGGGTGCGGGAGGAGACGGGTCCCAGCAGCCTCCCCTGCCCGCACCCAGCCCCGGTGAGGATGACGGCGGCGCTGCCCTGCCTGGCGCTGGCTCTGGCGCTGCTCTGCGCGCTGCGCACCGCGGCCGAGGTGCCCGTGCAGCCGGGCTTTGACACCCAGAAGGTAACGGAGCGCAGGGGCTGCCCCCAGCCCGTGCTGTGTCCCCAGGCACCCCGAGGAGCCCCCGGCCCTGAGCGCGCCCCACGGCAGCTCCCAGGAGAGGGAGGATCCATGCGCACTGGGTTAGTCCTGCCCCGCGCCTCCCCGCCACGGCCAGACCCAGCCGTGGCCCCGCTGCAGGGACACGGACACCCGGCACGGTGATGCCCCCGGACGTGTGGGATTGCCCAGGGAACATGGGCCAGGCGCTGCGCTCACCCTTCCAGAGCAGACCCATGTGTCCTGCATGCAGGCGGGTGCCAGGTCCCCGTGTTAGGTCCGCACAGGGGGTGGCAGGTTCCTGCACTGGACTGTCGCATCTTCCACAGAGGGTGGCAGGTTCTCCTGGTGGGTGGCAGGTCCCCATGCCTGTCCCAACCCCGCTGGTGATGTCCTGCTGCAGTTCGCAGGGAAGTGGCATTTTGCAGCCACTGTTTCCAACTGCTCTGTGTACCTGAAGATGAAGGATGGGATGAAGTCACCCATCGCCACCATCAGCTTCACGCCGGAGGGGAACCTGGCTATGAAGCTTGCCTGGCCCCTGTGAGTGCCAACCTGCTTGATGGGTCCTGCTTGGGCTCCATCCCCACCAATGCAGCTGGGCAAGGATCATCCTGCTGCTGCCCCACAGCGCTGGGCTCATCCCGGCCCCCCCATCTGAGGCCTCCCAGGTGGGGTCCAGCCCCCTTTGCCATTCCCATTTTCCCTCTCCAGGCCGGACAGATGCCAGAGGTTGGAGCTGCTCTTCCAGCGGAGCGGTCAGGCAGGACACTACATGGGTATGGGCGGGCAGGTGGAGCAGAGCCACCCAGCCCTGGCACAGAGGGGGTGTTCAGCCCCTCTGCCCCATGGCTGGGCCACGGGCTGTGCTGCTGTGGGGGCATGGGTCTGCTGGCTCCCTTCATAACCCCTCAGGCCCTGAGCCGTGAGCCCCAGGAGGGGCCATGGAGGTGCTCAGGCTGCTCCATGTTGACTGCTGTGGTCCTTCAGCAGCACAAGAGAAGAGAGAGCTGCGTGTGATGGAGACGGACTACAGCCACTACGCCATCGTGCACGAGACCCAGCACAGCGGGCAGCAGCCCAGCACCATGCTGCAGCTCCTCAGTGGGTATCAGGAGAGGGAATGGGTTAGGGCTCCACAGCTCCCCATAGAGGGACATGGGCATGGGGGGGGGCAGGGGGTGGGCTCCCCACTGCATTCCAGGGCCCCTTGCCTCAGCACCCCACGTGCTGCCACCCAGGGAGTTCATTTGGGGTGGATTCAACCTTGCACCAAAGATATCCCCCATGGGTTGTGGTTTGACCTGAAGCTCCCCAGCCCCACCAGCAGGTGGGTTCCTCCTCCCAAGGGGCTTGTGCCCCTTTGCTGCCAGCCCTGGACAGCTGTGGGGTGGCCAGTGTCCACCCTGCACCTCCATGGCTTCACCTTTTCCCTTCCCTGGGGCCCCATTGCTGCCCCATGGGAGCTGGAGCCTCAGTGTGGGGCTCTCTGCTGGGTCTCCCCGCACTCATCAAGCCCCTGCTTTGGGTGTCTGGCTGCAGCGAGGGAGGAGGATGTGAGCCCCCAGCTCCTGCAGAAGTTTGAAGAGCTCATCCCCACTGTGGGGCTGACCAAGGCCATGCTGGCCGTGCTGCCCAAGTCGGGTAAGTGCTGGCAGGACAGGGCTGCCCGCACAGCCCCTCTGCATGGGGATGCTCAGGACACTGCCCATGGCGTGCTCACCCCTCTCTTTGCTTTTCACCAGATCAGTGCACTGCAGCCATCAGGTGAGCATGGCCAGGGGATGTCGGTGTCCCTGCTGGCATGGCCAGGGCTGAGCAGGGACTCACAGCCCCGCAGGGACTCCCTGCCTGCCTTGGGGCTCTGCATCACTTCGCCTCTCCCTGCTCTCTCACCCATCGTCATTCCTCCCTGCAGCTGAAGGGGCTGGTGCCAAGGCCATGGTTCCTCCAGCCCTGGTGGAAACCCGGCTCTGCTCCCCGCTCCATAATACCCCTTCCTGTGCTTCCTGTCCTCCACTGCCCCACACCGGGATCACACCTCACCCTCCAAAATAAATAGGTGCAGAAGCTGCCCCCGAGTTTGGTGCTTTTGTTCGCAGGAGCAGGGGTGGTGCCAGGGTCCCCAGGCACCCCAAGTCCCGTGCTCCTGGGTGCAGCCCTTCCTCTCAAGCACCCCAGGGGAGCTGGGGTTCATTTGCTGTGCTGTTTGCTGTGCCCAGTGTGGTGAGGAGGGGGAGCAGAGGATGGGGAAGGTGCAAGGGGCAGTGCTGGGGATGTGGGCAGGGGAGGACTGAGCTGGGATGAACAGGAGGGGTTCATGCAGCAGGTCTGGGCAGGCAGGGTTAAGCACTTGGGCTGCTCATCCCTGTCTGCAGGCTCTGGCTTCAGGCAGGCAGCTCATCCCCAGGACATCCAGTTGAAGCCCCCCCAGAGGACTGGGGCTGTCCCATGGCTGCCTAGGGTAAATGCACAGTAAGACAGGGACATCCCATGCGTGTTCCCATCCCCCTGGCTCTCCCCATCTGCCCACTGGCCAAGGTAGAACCAGAGCCAGGGCACGGGGACATCACACTCTGGGAAGGAGGGGACACACTCCGACAATGACATGAACCCCTTCTTCCGCTGTCCCTGCACTGGGTGCATCCTGCTCTGCCTACCCTGAGTGTGCAGAGGTGCACCCACAGAGGTGGATGAGCTGTGCAGCACCGCAGGGTCACAACATCAGTGCTGTGCAGCTGCCTGGGCTTGGGCACGATCCCAGCGGCAGCCCTGGGGCAGATCCAGCCTGGCCAGAGGGATGGGTCACTGAGCTCCTTGGTGACAGGTCATTGGTGACAGCGCTGCTTGGGGCCAGTGCCGGGAAGGACGTCCCCACTCTTCCCAGCAGCCTTCCACCATCCTGCTGGTAAACAAATGCTCTTTTTTGTTCTTTCACAACCAACTTTGCCCTTTTCACAACCAAGCACATGGGGGAAATCCTGAATTTCAGCGCTGGTGTGGTGCAAGAATTCCTGCAATACCCTGCTCAGCCCCTCCGGGTGCCCTTTGGGTACTTCCCCTCTGCTGCAAGGCTGTTTGCTCCGGAGCGACCTCAGCCCTTGGAAACCATCTGCCCCAGCCAACCCTAGCGCCGGGCTGTGTGGAGGGGAGGAGAGCCCGGGGCTATAAATTGAGCAGCCCCGGCACCGCTCCCCAATCCCGCTGGCGAACCCAGAGGAGGCTGCGGCGAGATGAGGACCATGGGGCTGAGCCTGGGGCTGGCGCTGCTCTGCCTGCTGCGCGTCGGGGCTGAGGACCTCGGTGCTGCGGAGCTGGACATGAGCAAGGTGACTGCAGCATCCTGGAAAGGGCAGGCGGGAGCGTGGGCATCGCTCCCATGGTGGGGACAGCAGAGGTGGCTTTGTGCTGGGGACATCCCCCGGCTCTGCTGTCCCACCGGAGGGGTTGTGGGTGTCCCATGGCCTGAGGGTGTCCTGGCTCCGTCCCCGCGGAGGGAACAGCCCCTGCCTGCTCCCCCAGGCTCACAGCCTGCCCCTGCTGCCAGATTGCAGGGAAATGGCACATCACGGCCATGGCCACTGACAATGAGAGCTACCTCCAAAAGAAGGATCAGCTGAAGATGGCGATGACGTCCATCGAGCTCCTGGGGAACGGTGACCTCAACGTCTCCTTTGCCATTCCCACGTAAGTGCCAAGCACTTTCCGTGTGGGCTGCACTGACCCCCCCTTACCTCCACTGGTGGGACTCAACCAGGGTGTCTCCACCCAGCACCCACCAAAGACCGGGGTGGGGTGAGGCAGGACCTCCAGACCCATGGTGTACAACAGGGGCTCGGCAGAGCTGCATTGTGGAGACCCCTTCCTTAGGGGGCAGCACCAGACAGGAGCGGTCCCACTGTAAAGCTGAAACTCTGCTGCTCCCGGCAGGGATGCAACAGGATGATGGGGACCCCATGATCAAAGCTCTCCCAGCAGGACCAGCCTCATCCCAGAAGCTCAGAGGATGAGCAAGGGAAGGGTGATGGGGGACCCCATGATCAAAGCTCTCCCAGCAGGACCAGCCTCACCCCAGAAGCTCAGAGGATGAGCAAGGGAAGGGTGATGGGGGACCCCATGATCAAAGCTCTCCCAGCAGGACCAGCCTCATCCCAGACGCTCAGAGGATGAGCAAGGGAAGGGCTGCGTGACCCCACAGGACACCCCTCAGGCCACCCCAGGCACCCGCTGCTGTGTCCCCATCCCTGCCCTGGCCACACCAGCAAGTCCCACGTCTGGGGAGACCCCGGAGCCCACATCTGCAGGGGAGGGAAGAGGTGTCACTTAACCCCAGATGAAGCATCCTCCACTGCTTTGCAGCCCCGGGCAATGTATGAGACTGGTGTCGATCTACAAGCCAACAGGAGCCCTGGGTCAATACTACAGCTCTGGTGAGTGGGGCCGGGGCAGCGGCACTTCCCATAACCCCATGTGAAGCAGCCGGTTGTCCCTGGGACATGGCCCTCCTGGGGTCCTGGGTGGGACATCCCTCTGCAGCCGCTGCACCCCAGGGCTGATCTGTGCCAGGGCTGGTGTCCCACAAGCGAGCGGATCCCTCGGCTCCCTCCCTCTGGGATCAGACAAGTCCAGACCAGGTTTAAACCCTGGGGAGAAGCAGGTTAATTCTGCAAGGGGGCTGTGGGTGACTGTTCCCAAGGGATGGAGCGGGAGTGGTTCCCCAGCATTAGTCCATCTGTGCTACTGGGCTCTCTGCAGTGACCATCCCCAGAGCCTCCTGTGGTCCCTTCCCAGTCCCTCTGCTCTGCTGCCGTCTGTCGGCTCCCCCAGGCTTTCAGAGGAGCCTCAGCAAGGCGATAAACCAGGAGAGGGAGGCACAAGGTGGGAGCTCCAGGAGGTCGTTCACTGTTCCCTGTCCTTCTGCAGACAGAGGCTATAAGACAGCGCAGGTGGTGGACACGGACGGCAAGACATACGCAGTGGTCTTTGCCACCAGAGTGAAGGACGGGAAGACCCTGCATGCCCTGAGGCTCTACAGTGCGTAACCAGTGGTGCTCTGAGCAGGGTGGGCAGCATGGGGATGTCCCAAGAGGAGGCCAGGAGCCAGGGGACCCATGGGGACCCCTCCTCGGCACTGCCCTCCTGCCCTGGGTGGGCTGCAGGAGTGGGACCGGGGTGGCAGGGGAAGGGGAAGTGAGCTGGGACTGGGTGGGGAGGCTGGGCTCAGGTCCTGCACCCAGGGGAGCCCATGGCCTTGGGTCAGTCACTTCTGGAGATGGGGCAAAGATGGGGGTCCTGCTGCAGGGGATGTGTGTGGGATGGAAACCAGGAAAGGAGACATTGTGCTGCTGCCAGAGCCTCCCCTTCACCTTGTTCCCCGGGATGGGTGTCTCATGTCCCTGGCCACCACCCCTTTCCAGCACCTTCCCCACTGCCTCCACCCTTCCCTGGGGACCATCATCCATCCCATCTCACCTGGGTGCCCCCCAGCTGCGAGGACAGACCGCAGCCTGGAGCTAACTCATGTCCTCGCCCCTAGCCAAGACCCGGGAGGTGAGCCCCAGGCTGGCAATGCTCTTCAGGAAGCTGGCGAGGCAGAGGAGCTTCACCAACGACATGATCGTCCTGCTGCCCGCCCAGGGTGAGTGAGCGCTGCCCAGGACGTGCGGCTCCATCCATCACTGCCACCGCTCTGCAGTCTGAGCTGCCAGGAGGAAGCGTTGCCCCTGGTAGCCAGAGCCACGCTGGCCTGGCATGTCCTGGCATGACACAGCCTTTCTCTTTATGTTCACAGATGAATGCAGCCTTGAGGAGGTGTAGGTGAGTTGCTGCACTGCAACGTGGTGTTTTGCAATGTCCTCAGCTGGAAACTGCCCCCTTGGTGCTCCAGAAAGTGCTGCTGTGAGCTCTGGGAGCCACATTGTTTGAACCTGACTCCCAGGTAGGACTGTTCCCTATGGAGCTGCTCCGCGGTGGAGACCCCCAAGGTGCCCGGTGGTGAGCAAGGGCACTTGAACCAAAACCACCCGGTCAGTGGAGAAAGAGCTGCAGAGCTGCTGCAGCAGCCAGGGCCAGGACTGCATCTGGCCAAAGGGGCCTGGGGCTGTGGACCAGCAAAACTGGTCAGGGGTTGGGTTTGTTGTTGGCCCACTCTGGCATGTGATGTCCCACCACACTGATACACACTCAGTTGTAGGGCTGGCTCCATTGCTGGTGATGGCTCACCCTACAGAGCCAACAGAGACAACTAGTATAGAACAAGCTGATGCTGATGGGGAGCCCTGCTTGGCCTTCTCCATTGGCCTCCCCACCCAAATACTCAGCCCACCTCTCTTGCTGTTTTCCAGGAGGTGCAGGCTGGCTGGTGGCTGCTCCTGCCAAGCAATGCAAGACCCCCACTCTGAAGCTCCAGGCTGTTGCTTCCGCATCCCTCTTCTGAGCTCAGTGGTCAAGGCCGTGACACATCCCCTGCTCCTCCAGCATTCCATCCCTTCTTCTTGCCAAATAAACAACAACTCACCCCGGAGCTTGGTGTAACTGTCTGGGGACAACCCGGGATGCTCAGGCATGTGGTCCCTTCTGCTGGCCTCCAGGTCTGCACTGGGGAGCATCCTGGGCTGAGCTCACCCAAGTGAGGGTGGTTTTGGAGTCCACCAGGGTTTTCCCTCCTGGGTACCTCCCATGGGGCAGGACCCATGGGGCAGAGCTCAAATATGTGATGCAGTGAGGCTGCAAATCCCATGGGCACGGGGGGCTGCGTGGAGAAAGGCTGTGGGACTTGGCCACAAAACTGAAGTTGGAGTTGGAGGTCTGCAACCACCACCACAATCCGACTGACCTTCCCTTTGCTCACCCTGCTGCAATGGCAGCCTCTGCTCCCCTGGAGGGGCAGGACTCAGCTTGAGGAGCTCTCAGGCCCTCAGTGCTTCGGGGTCGGTGGAAGGTGGGTGTCTGAACTCTCTGGCCCCAAACCTTCAGACTGGTGTGGGGCTGCGCACGGTCTCTGTCCCTAAGCACTGAGCAGAGAAAGCCTCTGCTGGAGTCAGATTGCCTGCAATGGTGGACATCTGCCTCCAGAGGCTGTCTGAATTGCTGTTTCTGAAATCCCACTCCATCCTTCCCTTCCTGATCCATTCAGCCCGTCAAATCCACACAGGAGAAACCACAGCCCATCTGGGTAACCCATGTCCCCACTGATGCCCTGCACCCTCACATACGCTCATCGTAGGCAGTGAGGTCTGGAAGGGCATGAACAGCTTGTGCCTCTCCTGGAAAAGGAAATTCCTCTAAACTCCTCTCTGGTGGCATTTCCACAGGGACCTTGCCCATCCCTGCACAGCGAGCTGGGCATCCGATTCAGCCCAGGGTTTGCCTTGCTGCTGTGTGATGGTAGCAGGCATCCCTGGAAGGTGCTGTCCCAGCAGCTGAGCACCTCGGAACCTCCTCCCATGGACTGGGAAAAACCATGTGGGAAACAGCATCTCCTGGTCTGTGGACCGCGAGAGCTGGACACGTCCCAGGGCAAGGGCGTCACTGAGACTTCCAATCCCAGTGTCATCCCCACCCTCTTCGGAAAGACCCCAGTGTGTCCAGCAGGAATTCTCCCTGGCAGTTTGTACTGAACAGTTCAGTGTTTGCTGCCCTCCCAGGAACCCCAGGCTCACACACAATGCCAAGAGCCTTGATTTTGGTACGTGTTTTGATGCACATGAGAATATCCTGCTGCCAGCAGTGCCCTTTGCCAGGGACTGTGTGCTGGGGAGTCCCAGGGTGTCCACATCATGTTCCAGCCAAACATTTCCTCCCCTGCTGTGTGCAGGCGGCACCTCAGACAGTGCTGAGATCACTCCTCTGCCCCTGGCGATTTCCACTCCTTCTGTCTGTCTCTTCTCTCCCTGTGCTCTGGAGCAGGATGCACACAGGCTGCCACTGGAGCAGGATGCACACAGGCTGCCACTGGAGCAGGATGCACACAGGCTGCCACTGGAGCAGGATGGGCACAGGCTGCCACTGGAGCAGGATGGGCACAGGCTGCCATTGGAGCAGGATGCGCACAGGCTGCCACTGGAGCAGGATGCACACAGGCTGCCACTGGAGCAGGATGCACACAGGCTGCCACTGGAGCAGGATGCACACAGCTGCCATTGGAGCAGGATGGGCACAGGCTGCCACTGGAGCAGGATGCACACAGGCTGCCATTGGAGCAGGATGCACACAGGCTGCCACTGGAGCAGGATGGGCACAGGCTGCCACTGGAGCAGGATGCGCACAGGCTGCCATTGGAGCAGGATGCACACAGGCTGCCACTGGAGCAGGATGCACACAGGCTGCCATTGGAGCAGGATGCACACAGGCTGCCACTGGAGCAGGATGGGCACAGGCTGCCACTGGAGCAGGATGCGCACAGGCTGCCACTGGAGCAGGATGCACACAGCTGCCATTGGAGCAGGATGGGCACAGGCTGCCACTGGAGCAGGATGCGCACAGGCTGCCACTGGAGCAGGATGCACACAGGCTGCCACTGGAGCAGGATGGGCACAGGCTGCCATTGGAGCAGGATGGGCACAGGCTGCCACTGGAGCAGGATGCACACAGGCTGCCACTGGAGCAGGATGCACACAGGCTGCCATTGGAGCAGGATGCACACAGGCTGCCACTGGAGCAGGATGCACACAGGCTGCCACTGGAGCAGGATGCGCACAGGCTGCCACTGGAGCAGGATGGGCACAGGCTGCCATTGGAGCAGGATGCACACAGGCTGCCATTGGAGCAGGATGGGCACAGGCTGCAATTGGAGCAGGATGCACACAGGCTGCCACTGGAGCAGGATGCACACAGGCTGCCATTGGAGCAGGATGGGCACAGGCTGCCACTGGAGCAGGATGGGCACAGGCTGCCACTGGAGCAGGATGCACACAGCTGCCATTGGAGCAGGATGGGCACAGGCTGCCACTGGAGCAGGATGGGCACAGGCTGCCATTGGAGCAGGATGGGCACAGGCTGCCATTGGAGCAGGATGGGCACAGGCTGCCACTGGAGCAGGATGGGCACAGGCTGCCACTGGAGCAGGATGCACACAGGCTGCCACTGGAGCAGGATGGGCACAGGCTGCCATTGGAGCAGGATGCACACAGGCTGCCACTGGAGCAGGATGCACACAGGCTGCCATTGGAGCAGGATGCACACAGGCTGCCACTGGAGCAGGATGGGCACAGGCTGCCATTGGAGCAGGATGCACACAGGCTGCCACTGGAGCAGGATGCACACAGGCTGCCACTGGAGCAGGATGGGCACAGGCTGCCACTGGAGCAGGATGCACACAGGCTGCCATTGGAGCAGGATGCACACAGGCTGCCATTGGAGCAGGATGGGCACAGGCTGCCACTGGAGCAGGATAGGCACAGGCTGCCACTGGAGCAGGATGCACACAGGCTACCACTGGAGCAGGATGGGCACAGGATGCAGTTGGAGCAGGATGGGCACAGGCTGCCACTGGAGCAGGATGGGCACAGGCTGCCGTTGGAGCAGGATGCACACAGGCTGCCACTGGAGCAGGATGGGCACAGGCTGCCATTGGAGCAGGATGCACACAGGCTGCCACTGGAGCAGGATGCACACAGGCTGCCACTGGAGCAGGATGCACACAGGCTGCCATTGGAGCAGGATGGGCACAGGCTGCCATTGGAGCAGGATGGGCACAGGCTGCCATTGGAGCAGGATGCACACAGGCTGCCATTGGAGCAGGATGCACACAGGCTGCCACTGGAGCAGGATGCACACAGGCTGCCACTGGAGCAGGATGCACACAGGCTGCCACTGGAGCAGGATGCACACAGGCTGCAATTGGAGCAGGATGGGCACAGGCTGGCACTGGAGCAGGATGGGCACAGGCTGCCATTGGAGCAGGATGGGCACAGGCTGCCATTGGAGCAGGATGGGCACAGGCTGCCACTGGAGCAGGATGCACACAGGCTGCCATTGGAGCAGGATGGGCACAGGCTGCCACTGGAGCAGGATGGGCACAGGCTGCCATTGGAGCAGGATGCACACAGGCTGCCACTGGAGCAGGATGCACACAGGCTGCCATTGGAGCAGGATGCACACAGGCTGCCATTGGAGCAGGATGGGCACAGGCTGCCATTGGAGCAGGATGGGCACAGGCTGCCATTGGAGCAGGATGCACACAGGCTGCCACTGGAGCAGGATGCACACAGGCTGCCACTGGAGCAGGATGGGCACAGGCTGCCATTGGAGCAGGATGCACACAGGCTGCCATTGGAGCAGGATGCACACAGGCTGCCATTGGAGCAGGATGGGCACAGGCTGCCACTGGAGCAGGATGGGCACAGGCTGCCACTGGAGCAGGATGCACACAGGCTGCCACAGGAGCAGGATGCACACAGGCTGCCACTGGAGCAGGATGGGCACAGGCTGCCATTGGAGCAGGATGGGCACAGGCTGCCACTGGAGCAGGATGGGCACAGGCTGCCACTGGAGCAGGATGCACAAAGGCTGCCATTGGAGCAGGATGCACACAGGCTGCCATTGGAGCAGGATGCGCACAGGCTGCCACTGGAGCAGGATGCACACAGGCTGCCATTGGAGCAGGATGGGCACAGGCTGCCACTGGAGCAGGATGGGCACAGGCTGCCACT